GACGCGCCGCCACCCATGATCCGTAGTGTCGTGTGTTTTGTCTGTTTGTTCTGCAGAAAAGATATGGCTGGATATGAGTACCGTACTGTATGGTCGTTACTACTCGATATGATTCAGTTGCAATGTTATCTTCCAATGAGTTCCCTTTCGATTCTCCAAGAGCTTCATTGCACTTGACGTTCGTCCTCAACGCGAAAGCCTTTTCCTTTATCTCGTGGCTGGAATAAGTTCTGTTGAAAGTTTCTTTTTCACTTCGTCGACGCCAACTAAGAGTTGAATTTCTTCCCWMACTGGGCATTCACAGAAGAAAGAAAAAATTGGAAGCCGCGTGCTCTACTAATACTATCGTGCGCTACAACTTACACCTAGCATGCCCAACGACTTTTTTTGATGATGTCATCGTGCGCCTACCTTAAATAAGCAATGATAGTACSGTACGTACGACTTCGTACAGTARTTTCTAATKCTACAATWAAAAACAATCAACGATGGATTCGATTAACATTGCATACGGTATCTCTGATCTAGATTTCGAACCAGGTCTCAGATTTGATGAAAGAAAAGAAAGCGATAGCATAATRATTGAGCCTGATAGGAAATWAAGAGAACGAATTTGAACTGGTTGGAACTAGTAGAACTAATAATGCCAGAAAGAGATATCTAAAGGGGTTTTGCAGATAAAATGATGCTAGCGTGACAACAGGTAAGACTTCCACCGTAGTAGACTAACAGTCCTGAAAATAAAGACAATCCTACGCTACTACTGAATGGGGTGGAGAATAAAATATGGGTGGTGTCATAATCGCGACACCGATGGACGCATTTTTACTCGCCTAATGCTTTGTTTTGAGAGCTATCATTCGTGCTCTGTTGTAGTTGCAAAGGGCCCTGAACAGATCAGTAGACCAATCGATTCATTATATGGTCTTGTATTTGTACACGGCCGAGGCACAGTCTCCATGGCCCTCCAGCTCAAGGCGATCCCCATAAACATTCAGGATTCCAAAGGTGGTGGTGGGTGGCTTGGATTCCAGTACGGCCTCAACGACGCGGAAGTGGATCCCGGAGTCTTCGTCGTGGACGTACCCACCCTTGTGGGCGTGTCCCGCAAAGGAGGCCACCACCACGTCGGAGTACTCCCGCAATGTTTGCAGGACGGCGTCGTAGTTCCAGATAAGGCAGACAGGGTTGGACGAGCCCGGATGGATGGGCTGGTGGGAAAGAACAATGACTTTTTGATCGCCACCCCCGTTGTGGTTGGCCTTTCGCGTGGCCTCCAGCTCGTCCCTGAGCCATTCCAGCTGGGCGGGCCCGACGGCTCCGTTGAAGGCCACGAATCGTTTTTGCAGCCCCTCGAGCCCCTCCGGAGAGTTTTCGTTGCCCGCCCCGAGATTGACTCCGTTTTCGCGCTGCAGGATCTCCAGGGCGGCCTTTCGCTTGGCCGAGTGCTTGGGGCAGCGCCTCATGAGGCAAATATCGTATCCGTCGAGAACCAGAAACTTGATGCTGCTTTGTTGTGGTTGYAGAGGTGGATGCACGTAAGAATAATACCCGACGAGGTCTCCGTCGTTGTCACCGGTGTCGTCTTCATCGCTGCGGGCTATTGTGCTATTCCCATGGACGTTGACGCTGACGTTAGTGTCGCTGTGTGCTGCTTCGGAGCGAAAGGGTATGCCCAGTTTCTCCCGCAGCTCGGTCCTGTTCAGGTTGTACAAGCAATGGTTTCCGTACGAGTGAAGTATTTTCAYCTTTTGCTCGGTGGTAGTTCCGGAATAGGGCTCCATAGCGGCCTCAACTTCTGACAGCGAGAGSATCCCCGGGTGGTGCGGTTCTTCCGTCGGAAAACCTTCCCCCCCGTTGCCGGCGATGTCGAGGCATTTCCCGTCGATAATGTCGCCGAGGTTGACTACGAGATCGACRCCCCTGGTTCCCCCATTCCCRCAAAAKGTTTCAAAGGCGTGCTTGGTGGCCGTYAGCGAGTGCCGRTAATACCGCGGTGTGCCCGTGTACGAAAAACCATCTGGGATCGGGGCGTACTGGATGTCGGCAATCATTCCTACCGAGAATAGCGGGGACTCWWCTCCTCCCGGAAGTGGTTGTTGCTGTTGCTGCGACTGTTCGTTCATGACGTTGTTWTTTTCTCCGTTGTCCTTGTCGGCGGATGTCGCTGCTTGTAGTTGGGTCGAAACGGAGAGGTGGCTCCGAATCGTCGATTCCTCGAAAAGCTGCGAGTTTAGCGTTTGGTATGGATCGAACAGTTTCGTTGGCCGAAGGGACAAGGAACCGCAGAATGGAAACAGCAGAGCCAGAACCAACAGAACCGTCAATGCCGGTAAACTAATCTTGGGCTTCGGTTTACCGATGCTCATCCAAACAATCAACTCTAAACTCTCGAATTCAAGCGAAGCAACACTGAATTGATTAGTAGAATGAATCCTTTTCCCCTTTCATTGGTTTCTCGTTTACTGGCAACACATCAATTGCATGCAAATCGGAATCGAAGCAATCGGAACGGAACGAAAAGATGGACGACTAATGATCTATGTCCACACTCACAGTAGTACGGTACGTACTTTCCTTAGGACGTAATGTCACGTTCGGAACCATTCCGTTACCCGTACGAGCAGTACGTACGATGCTTCACAATTACGTACCGTATGACGTCATATGGTAGATATGTTCCGTACATTTTGAATCACGAATGTACATAATAGATGATGTTTACTTCGTAGGTTATGATTATGACCCCTAGTATGATCTCTATCTCAGTAAGGTACGAGTACGTTCTGGAGTACTTGCGCGAGTACCCAACGGAACGATAATCGTACGTACTCCTACCGTCCGTAACGCACGTACTGTAACTTACTGTAATTCTCCGTAATTGTGATTGTGTACGGTATCCTCTCAAAATGACCAAGAGACCACAATTCCGTTCTCATCACGACGTAACGATACGCCCTGTACCTCCGCGGTATGGAATGTTGACAAGGAGACACAGCGCAGGGGATACACCAAAACACAGCATAGCACAATCACWATCACCACCATGATTGCGGCGAACAGCTTTAGYCTACATGAACTAAAAGGAAAAATATCTTCCGCCCGACGACACAACTGGAATGCGTTTTTCGTAGGGTTCCTGGCCCTGGCCGCGGTTGCTTGCGGGATAGCCGTGTACGCGGCAGGGGTTGTGGTGCCGAAGCTTCACGACGCAAGGGACATGTCCCACGGCAAGCAGCACCCGTCCTTTGACGCCCCCGACCTAAAACGACACAACGCCCAGCACAAGCACGAATTCGARAGCGCCTACCACATGCCAGACAGAAAAGTCCTTGATCGGGAAGTCGAGGAAAGCCTCGAGGCAGAGAAGAAAGAGCACAACCAATTGCGAGCTCAGCCCGCGGCCGAGAAGCAGAAGGCGGGGTTCTCTACTACCGATGCCGGCTCCAAAACGGAAATCCGTGGGGATGCCGCCAACCAAAAATACCACATGGTCTTTTCCACCAGCTGCTCCGGTTTTCAGAACTGGCAGGCCCTGGCCTTTTTCTATTTTGCGCACAAGGTCCGCCAGCCGGGGACAGTAACCCGGCTCGTCTCAGGGTGCACCGACGAGGAGGAGAAAAAACTTAAAAAGATCCACAAGGAGCGTGTGGTTCCCCTTCAGATCCCGGGACTGCAAACCTTTGAGATGCACGTGACCCCCGGCTTTGACGACTCGGGCGGCGGGAGCCAAAAGTACTGGAACAAACCTAATGGATTGCTTCACTGGATGGAAGAGTCCCTTGGCTTCGACGGAAAATCCGACCACGAGGACGACGACGCSATAGTTATAATTTTGGATCCTGACATGATGCTRCTGAGGCCCATCACGGCGGACTTTTCGTCCAAGAACTACGCCGGGGGATGGGCCACCTCCAAAAATACCAAGGAACACGTTGYGAACAATATGTCGCCCGTGGATTATTCGCACGAYGTTGTGACCCACGGAAGACCCCATGCCCAGCAGTACGGTTTCGGAAGCAACTGGCTCACTTCCTTGAAGGGCCGCCTCGAGGAAGTCGTGGGCCCGGACTCCCCCGCCCTTAAGCTTTCGCTAGATGACGCCAACGACTACTACCCTGCCGGGCCGCCGTACCTTGCCACCGCGAAGGACATGTACCAGATCGCCGTCCACTGGGTCAAGTTTTTGCCAAAGGTCCATGAGATTTTCGAGCCCTTTATGTGCGAAATGCACGCKTATTCCGTGGCGGCTGCCCACCTGGAGCTCCCGCACAAGCTGGGGGTAGGGTTCATGGTCTCGGACGTGGACAGCGACGAGGAATTCGGATTCGTAGACAAACTCATGCCGTCTGAAGTGTGCATGGCACCCCCCGCACTTGAGGCCACGGAAAGCGGCCAAGCGATCGACCTGACCGATAGCACCACCATGGTGGATCCGGTCTACAAAGMGGTGGGCATTGCCACCCAACAGCTTCCCTTTGTGCTCCATTACTGCCAGCGATATGCCCTYGGGCGGTGGTTCTTTTCCAAGTACAAGCTTCGCGAGGACATATTTACGAACTGCACGGCACCGCTCCTCCGGGAACCCCCCCGGAACGTTGCAGAGCTTTACCAGTGGTACATTTTTCCCAATGGGATCGAAAAGTTAAATTTTGCCTCCGTCAAGGACGAGAAATGGAAGCAGGAAGGGCTGCGAGTCAAGCATCTGAGACACGGCTGGCTCCTCTGTGCCGTCCTTTACGGAATCAATGGGGCCATCGAGGCCTACAAGACCGAAACCTGCCAGGACAACTCGGACGCCTTCCAAAAGACGTGGCACTTTCACGACGAGGTGCTCTTTGACAAGATGATCGCCGATCCTTCGATTCCGAGCGATCTGTTCGAACCAGATGCGAAAACCGACGCCGGAACGTCGGGAGGCACCCAGTGAGCGACGTGCTGCATAAAAGGTTACCCTCGATACATTTTCCRAAATGCACCACCAGCGCTCTCGAGCTATAAGGGAAACGCAAATCCTTGAAACCAAMCAAACAAACAACCTAAAAAAGAACTGAAAATTCTGGATTKGCACCGTTGGGGTGAAAGTGGCYGAGGGCGGCTCGAACGTGGCATTCTTAAAGGTTTCCTTTTTAGTAAACAAATSTCAATGAATGTGTTCCAACCACTTCGTCGGGCTGCCTATAAGGGGAAGGAACGGAGAGACAATTTACAAAACAACTAACAGTGCAACACCAACCATTCGTTGGTGGATCGATTACTATCTTGGCAAACAAAGTCAACACAGAGTCCAACCGCTTATTGTATACTTCAGTGCCGGTAGAACTGCAACAKAGTCTGGGATTGGTGTTTGGTCCGCGCTGCAAGCCTTCGACAMACGAGCATGTCGGAGCGTGAAATAGTCAGACATATGTGTAGCCTATCAATTACAAGTGTATAATTTCGCACGGGTAAATTTGTTTGTATAGATCAATATCTACTATTTTGTCAATCGATTTTTTCGGACCTGAGAATTCATAATCCCGGCCTTTCGATTTTTAGGCTTACAYCGGTGGCATCAACCATTGCCCATTGACCTCAAACCCTTTGAAGAAAATTGGCATTCGTCTCGTTCCTCATTAACGGATTGGCGCTAGTCATTTCAGGTGTTGTTTCTTTTGTTGGCATCAAATGTTTTCTTCGAGCCCCGTTCATTGTTGCGTTCGCTACTAGTCCTTCCCGCCACCCAAAATCACGGGAAGAGAATCCTTCGAGTTTCCAACAATSACGACCTTTGCGTTCGGCGACTGGGCGAGTTTTTCGGTGGCCTCGATGCCCTTCCACTGCAGCAAGCTCGGGGTGATGCCCTTTGTGACGATCCTCTGAAACTCGGCAATCCCCTCGGCCTCGATGGCCTTGCGCTCGGCCTCCTGTTTTTCCTTTTTCAGCACGAATTCCATCCGCGCCGATTCCTGCTCGGCCCGGGCCTTCTCCTGGATGGAAGCGGACAAGTCTTTCGGGAGCACCACGTTTTTGAGGAGAACGTCCTCGACGATGATTCCACGGGGTCCCAGTCGCTCCTTTAGCTCGCTTCTGAGGTTGTTCTGGATCTCGGACCGACCCGAGGTGTAGAGCGCCTTGGCTTCCGACTCGGAGGTGAGCCCGCGGATCGCCGAGCTGGCCTCCGGGAGGACCAGCTTCTTGACAAACTGGGGACCAACCGATCCGTACAGCGACAGCGCCTGTTTCGGATCCAGGCGGACCAGAACGGCCGTATCGAGCTCGACCGTGAGTCCTTCCTTGGTGGGAACATAGTTCGACTGCTCCAGCAGCTCCGTCTTGGCAGACAGGATCTCGACCTTAGTGATTAGCGGGTTTCGAATGTGGACCCCMGGATCATACCGTTCGATGCTCCCAAAGGTGCTGGCAATACCGATCTGCCCGACGTCCACGGTKKAAATACATTGCAATCCGAGAAAAAAGGCAAYCACAGCAGCAATTACGAGACTTCCTTTGCGGCCTAGTCCCAACAGTTCCCCTAGGTAGTTTCCTGCCGCCAGGGCGGTGGTAGAACCGGAACGCGGAGGTCTTCTCGCGCCGTCGGTCCCGAGGATGTTGCCCGCAGTCTTGCGATGGATCCCTTGTCCAAACAACAGAGGAATGCCGACGCTGCTGCTACGACCAAGTGCTTTGCCGGTCTTCAATTGTGTCGAAAACGCTTCCACGAGGACCGGGCTACTTCCAGATCCTTGCTGGCCGACCACTAGAGCGACAGCAGAAACAGCAGCAAATGAAGATATCTTCCACCAATTTCCCCGGCGGATACTTTGTTTTGGATCGAAGGAGGGTTTCATGGCTGTTTGTGATGGATGGTCGATCYATTCATCTCACTTCGGAAAGATAGTGTCTGGATATTATGTCGCTTAGTATCTCATGTGAACTCTAACCGAAGGATCAAAAGGTCGAGACCAAAACCGTTTCATATATCGCGTTCTARCATCAATGCAAAGCTTAGTCTACACGTTTCAATTTTCGGGGTGTCAGGTGCGACGACAATGTAATCATTCACAAAGCAAAATCATGAGGAATCGAATCATCACAAGTCCCTACCGTACGCAACCTCAGCGTCTTCTCTCAGTCCGACGTCGACACGTTGCAATTCCAAGCTCTGCAAAACGGTATTGAAGGGGCGGGGCAATCCAATACAAATCGAAGGGAGCGTGTCAAGGTTAACAAAAGATCTGGTGTAATAATTCTGACAATTTTTACAGAACATGGTGGGGAGCTTTGAAGTACGAGTTCGTACGTTCAGGTTTACGCATATGCCACCTGTTCGAAACTTTCCTGCAGTTGTTCGAACAATGCTTCTCTGTACCATAAGTATTGTACGTACTTGGAGTACGAACTACCACTCCTGCCACAACGGAAGTACGAGTAATTGTAACTGCGTTCACATCACAAAAATCCTTTCACAAACAAATACTACTAATSTTTTRCWTTGTACACTTCAATTTATGCTTTGGTCATTAAGTTTTTAGTTTTTCACAATCTCTTCATACATTGTGGATGCCAAATTTTGTTACAGATTGCCGTATCATCTGTGAACTTTTGGATTTTCATCTACTGTAGTCGCTAAAAGAAAGTGTTTCATTCTGTTTTTGCCCAGGGGTGTGTTGAATTGATTGGTTTCATCATTGGCTTTTGGCAGATAGTACGGCGTCCACAATGGGTCCCATGTGAGGGCACACCGCAAGAATGATATCGTTGTCTTGGAATTTTTCGTACAGCTCGTGATACTTGAGTAACGACGCCTCCCGTTGCTTTTCCACCTCGTGTTTCAACTCGAGCTCTAGTTTCGCCCTGGCTAGATTCATGACCTGCTTCTTCTCCGTCTGCTCAGATAGCGGCTGCTGACTCATCTCCTTCTGTGGTCGTTGCCGCTTTTTGGTTGGCGGAGTCACGGCCTTGTTGGAGGATGGCTCATCTTTGGCAAGCGATTTTTGTTCTTGTAGCTGCGAAGACGGCTTGGGTTGTTGCTTGTCTTTCGATACGTCGYCAACGGGCGACTGTGGCTTTGATGTCGCCTGTTGCTTTTCGAGCGCCTTGCGCATCTGCTTGAGAGAAGATCCGTCCTTTGCATTTTTTTTCTGCTTTTGCAGCGTTTTCAGTTGTTGCTGCTTTTGGCGAAGAGGTGGCTTTGGGTTTTGCTTCTTCTTGGCAGCCTTTGCCTTGGTATTGGGTTTCGCTCCTTTGCCAGCAGGGGCTTTTGCCTTGGTCTTCGCCTTGTTCTTCGGCTTTTTGGTGCTGTTGGGTTTGTTCGCGACTGCGTTGGCTTTGGTCTCTGTTGGTTTTTCGTTCACGGTGCTGCCACCCTTGCCTTTTTTCGCCGGGGTAGAAACCGCAGCATCATCACTCTTTGTTTCTTTCTGTTCCTCCTTTTCTGCCGCTGCAACCTTTGTGGATGTGGGAGTCGYATCRATTCCAGACTCGGCTTCTGCTTTTTTCTCCTGTTTCTTCGCTTTTTTGGTCGGGGTGGGATCTACAGAAGCACCGTCTGCCTCGGCTTTCTTTTTTTTCTCCTGGCTTTTGACGGKTTTCTTCTTCTCAGYYGATTTGTTCTTCTTCCCACTTGTTTTTCCCTCTTTCTTGACGGGTGTAGAYAATACATCATCACTGGCTTTGGTATCCTTCTCCTCCTTTTTTGTTTGCTTCTTCGTAGGATTTGCCTTTTGGCTTGGAGTGTCAACTGCAATCTYGGTCTCGTTTGATACAGCATCTTTTTTTTCTTGGATCGCTTTTTTAGCAGGAGTGGAAATRACAGTGCCTTTGCCCTTGGATTTTCTTTTCTTTGTCGAAGTTTTTTTCTTTTCCTTCTCGCCGCTACGTTTCTCCGTCTTGGCTTCGGACTTTTCTGCCTTAACATCGGCAATCTTTACTTCTTCTGTTTCATTAGGTAGTTTCGCCATCTTACAATACGATTCTTTGAACAAACTCTTTGAAAATGATTGTGGTTTGGTCAATGAGAAAGGGTTCCATTCTTAGCACAAGGTTTGTCCCGTACAGTACTTACAAGAAAGGGCGAGTTCGCACCGACGGCGACGATCAAATTTCAGATTTTTGTACTGCAGTTTTTCGAGGTTTCTTTTTTGATCGGAACGTGAAATTGGTGGCTGGGATTTGAATTACGTCATAATACATATGTTTAGTACGTATTTCTTTAAAGTAGATGAGTATGGTGTACCATAATATGGTACTACGTACTTCGTAGTTACTAGTAGAACGAAGTATGTACCCATACTTTCTTACTTCTGTWCTTCGTACTATTACGAAGTACAGTACTTGTACCAGGCACAAGCACCGTCTGTAAGTTTGCTTCTTCTTTTTAGTCGAACCAGTCGTTCTTTGGTCCAGTTTTTCTGAGACAAATTTTCCGAGACAAAACGTGTGAGGGTAAATCCCGAGTAGCTACTAGTGCAAAACGTGTTGATCACGGATTTTGGTTTCAATTTTTTTTTGTCTCAGCAAGCACAGCTTGGGAAAAGATCTTCCTTCCTGTCGTATCACTACATCGAGCAGCCTATTATGGAACCAAAGGAAAAACGGTTAATTCTGTTCTGTTGCCATCGATACAACTGGACTCGTGAAATGAATGTGGTTATCTTCCTTGTCATATGATTTGCGTTTCGTAGATGAATCGTTCATTCTTTCAATCGCTTTCTTCTTCAGGCCTCCTGTCTCCAAGGTGCGTTGCCTCTATGGGTCATCAGAGCCAGACCCTCCCGAAGCAAGAAATAAAGTCCAGTTMCTTTTTCTGGCAAATCCCATCGTTTGTGTCCGTTGATTCTTTCTAAAAGAATAGGCCAAAGAGAGGTTGGAACAAAAAAATATKATCACTCTCTGGGTTGCTGATATCATTGTCTTCAATGATGCATCTTCCTGCATGGTTGATAGTAAGCATATATATTATATTTGGTAGAAGAGAAAACCTTCGATACATGTTATTGTCATGAACACTAGTCCTTTGGGTTCCTCCGAATATTCTCCGGGATCCTCGAACTTGTCAAGAAAAATCGATTTCCACATCAACAAGCCGCGACTGATTAGCTTGAACACTTTTTTTTTATTGCATTGGCTACTCTTTGGACACTTGCGTCCTGAGATCCCTCAACATGTATGGAACGAACATTTGGAAATTTTGGAAGGACGTCACCAAGTAAGAGAGTCTTCAATTGATCATCGTTGAAGCTACACCCATGAAACTGTATTTTCCTGAGTGTACTGCAACAGCGAAAATTCAAGGTCTGAAGATTCTCCAGAATGCCATCAACTTTTTCCTCGTAAATCAATTCTGAAAAGTTTAGTGTTCTTAACATGGGCAACTGATTTGCCACCCAATCACAAAAAAATAGCGGATGCTCTCCTTTGTTTGTGGGTACTCGAGAGAGACTTCTTCCAATCGAGTCAGCTCCTTTTGATGAGAGAAGTCTTCCGGGAATAAAAACACATGGAATATAATTGTTTTTAGATTTGACAAGGTAGAAAGCTCCGCGGGAATCGATCGGCAATAATGCAACCAAAAAACATTTATCGTCTTGGATGAACCATCAACCTAATGATCCTACCATTTTCATCAGTTCTAATGTCCCACAGTTTATTGTATGAGCGCATACCATCTATGAGACTCATTGGGTTGCGAGGATCGATTGGGTTAATCTGCCTCAAAACCAAAACCAAGATAACCCAATCGATAAAGTCCACTTTTACATTCGTTTTGACATACATTGGAATCCACGAGTGGCATAACTCTAGTAATACTCTTTTGCCACCTTTTCAATTTTTCTAGGATGCCTTTCAACAGCCGATTCCTCGCTGAGAAATCGAATGCTATTGGTGGCTCGAATGTTGGTTTAACGGCCGCTCATGTGAAATCCTATTCAAAATTTTGTTTTGATAAAAAAATCCATGGCGCCTTCGTACCGAACCTTGTCGAGCGGAGAGCACATCGAGAAATCGAGATTTGATTGAGTTAACAAGAGGCCATTGGATGTTAATTGTATACCCGCCCAGATCAGAGCCACTCGGGAACTTACCGTATRAGTTGCTGTCTTTCTTTTGAGCCAAAGAATGAATGAAACCTCGAGAAGAAAATCAGATAACAAAGCTTCTTCGTGTGTGCGATTCGAATCATGCAAGTACTTCCTGTTCTGAAAACCTCCAAATCCCCATAGCCCACTCATCGCACCGACCGATCCGGGATCGATGGCATTTTTGCGGGATCGCCTCGGAAGCAATCCCAGACTCGAAARCCTACTYGGTGTTTCACCGTGGTGTCTGCAGTCCAAAGAGCACACTCTCGCTTGGTCGCCGAGGAAGCCGAAATTTTGAATCTTGACATAACGAACCACCATGCGGTTACCAGGTAAGTTGCCGTTGTGAAACCTTCTRTTACGCGCTGTCACGGTTTCGAAAATGACTGTATCGTATCGGGTACGAACTGAGTAAAGGATGAAGGATTTTATTTTAAGTGTTCGTCGGTTACGAGTACCTGTACCGTACGATTGATCGCGCGTTCGAAGATACAGAACGTAACTATCTCTTGCAAACGGGACTTATCAGGTAGTCGATAATCCGAAGAAGTATGTTACCGGTACTAGTACTCTGGTAATTGACTTCATRAAAGTATCTTCGGTAGTATTACAGTATTTCGCAATGTACAAGTATTGCGTACCGTACCAGGTACCGTAAGGAGAAATAATCAACGTTGTTTGTGTGTCTGCCTGCCTGCTCGTGTTCTGGTCTTATTCTACCCGAAAAATGCCAATATTTTTTATCAATAGAATTCTATTCCTTTCTGTTCACACTTGATTTTGGCGTTAAAAACCTTTTTGTTGGGGGTGCGATTCCGTTGTGCCCCCTATTGAATATTGCCTACGTTKTTGGATCGGTTGTGCGTCCCAAATTTCAGACTGACTGGCGTGCAGAGCAACTTGAAGATCCATAAATACGTCGTTTGGTGCTCTATCTAGGCCTTCTGCCCTGTGTGATTGAGTGAATAATCGAATCATCGAAAAAACAAATCAAAATAATTTCGTTTGGTGTCGTMTTTTTTCCACTTCGCCATGCGTGACGGTAGAAAATAAAGTCTTGTCTTTAGATTTCGGAGGTTGTGTATTCTGATTCATTCCTTCTCAAAAACGATCCGAATCAATGGCACACTGTTCATTCTTCTGTTTCTGCCGCTGATACAGATACTGATACAAATARAACGGGACARCTGGAGAAAGAGTTCGATTCATTTGTTTCAACGACACCTGAACTACTGATGACAACATGCTRCTACTCCGAAGACGCAAAGAACAAAATGAGCATTGCAGCCAGCCGTCTTGTCCGCGTTCGGTGGTGACCTTTTACCACGACATGAGCGGTGAAAGCAGTTCCGTGGAATTCTACTCCAATGGAGATTCCCATAACCGCTTGCGCCAGGAAATCGATCTCCAGGATTTCGAGGCATTGGTAGAGACCTACAAGTCTTTGGTGACCAATCACCGCAAGAATCTCCAGCGAAGGAAAYGCCGGCTACGTCGTCTTCGCAGTGGACCCGAGTCTGCCCCCGTCCACCGCTCGGATGATTCGAAACGCGAACCCGACGATTCTTCTCSAATGGTCGTCACYGAGGTCCACAAGAAGGCAATCGTGACACTTGTCCGGGTCGATGCCACCTCGAAGCGCGTCATTGGAATCCGGCCTGAGTTTTTTCCGAGAAGCACAAGGGTGGTCCCGTCTTGCCTGGGCCGGCTGGACTCTCTCAAGTGCCTCCGGCTGGACMGATGCACCCATCTGGCAAGGGTTCCATCGGCCCTCGGACTRGGCCTTTCGSGGCTGACGGAACTGCGCCTGGATGTCTCGGCCATGAATCAGCCCCTCCCGACCAGTTTCGGGGAGCTCGGGAACCTGACGACCCTGGTTCTCTTTGGWAGCTGCGCAAGGTTGGACGCTGGCAATGTTGGCGAAAACAATTCTTCGATGGTCCTGTTCCCCTCGTCCATGGCAAAATTGAAACTGAAGCACCTCGAAACCCACATTCAGAACCTCTTGCACATTTCGCCCGAGGTGCTCGACGGATGGAGTGCTTCGATGGAAAGAYTAGTGGTCACGCAAGATCTYGTGATGCCGTCGGTGACAGCCACCTCCAGTGATGAGCGTTCCATGGCAGACGGATCGGCKTCTTCTGTCTCGGAGGACTACCTCTTTTTGGATTCGGAAGATGACAACGAGRATGAGGACGAGGGYAACTCCTTTTCTATTCTACAGCATAGCAATATTTTCCGAGAAGCYCTAAAGCTCCAATTGGAGGAAAGAACCTTTCGATCGATTGCCCGCTTCCGGAACCTCAGGGCCCTCAAGCTCTTATTTGATGATTCCGAGTACCGTGAGGAAGGCTTCGTCTCGTCCAAACCCCCAGGGGYCTATCACYGCACTGGACGCTCTTGCAAACTCGCTACCGATACAGATACCCAATGTGTGGCCCCTCCATCCAGAACGCCATATACGGTTCCTCTTTCTTGGCTGGCTGGGCCTCTTTCTTCCTCACTAAAAGAGTTGGATATCGGAAGCTGTATAGCATCGACTACTTCAAGTGCCTCTCCCCAAAAATCTKTGATTCCGATTGAGATTTCATGGATCGATATCCTCCGAGAGTTTCCGCTTCTGGAACGGTTGCGGCTRCAGGATTGCCGTTGYTCTTTTGCCAAAACCAGTGATGCAGATGCAAATACGAAGAATACGATCGAGGAGACTGATGCCCCGCTCCTGTTGAATCACCTGAAGCAGCTTGTGCTCGACCGGTGTCCCGAGTTTGCTCTTGCAGACGAGGGGGATGGAGTGACGGAAATGACCTCATCATCGTCATCCTTTCAAGAAGCAAATAGCGAATACTATCTCACAGACCACAACGGATCGCTGGAAGAARTCGTCTTTTCTCCCAGCGGAAGTAGCGACGAGGAAAGCGCCACCGAACCCGAAAACGAAAGGAACCAAGACATTGCCATCTCCTTTGACCCGGTCGATGTGAACGACATCGAAGCTCTGGTGAACGAAAATCCGAAGGAAATCTTTTGCATCACCCGCCCGACCRGTCTCCAGGCGAACACGGTATTTTCGCCAACCGAGAGAGAGGATTCGCTAGCGATCTTGTGCCGTAAGATGCTACCTAGGTGTCCGAGTCTTGAGCTTCTTTGCCTCCGGGATTGTGGAATCACGGGATTTTGCAGTGATTTATTGTCGTGCCTTCCGAMGGAGTCACTCCGGGAGCTGACCCTGGATGYGCACGACAATCACGAGAAAAAAGACAAAGAAACAATCCGAACCAATCTGTGGGCACTCATCGATGYCTATCCCTCCTTGATGTACCTGAACGGAAGCTAYACCAAACTCCTCGAAACGGAGGCCGAGCAAGAGCAACTTCAGCGCCGRTTGGTTCAGAGGCAGCATCGTTACMGGGCTTCTCGGCATCTTCCAGGACCGTTGAAGCGATTCTTTTCCGAAAGGATCAACGACATGCAAAAGCACGGAGTTAGTCACAACATTGTTTCGATGGACGACTCTGCGGAGGCACCAGGTACGGCGGAGGAGAAGGAGCGTGCCACCGCTGCATCGACAACRAGTGCATCTCTAGAGGGGGATCATCAAAATCCCGTCCTCCGGCTGCCCTTGGTGGCACTCAATCGCATCAGAAAGAACACTRGGRTGTTGCAAAAAAGCATYCGGCGGTCCAATTCGCGAGAATTTTTGTGAGACTAGGTAAGGTCAGATAGGATGAGGAAAATCTTTTATTTASAAGCGAAGCATTGTTTCATGCGGCCGTTCATTTCTCGCCTGCGTAAGTATTGAGTAATAAAGCCATGCGGTRTTGTAGAATTTGAACTATACTAGWAGCGTCTCCTTGCYACATGAGTAGACAGAAKTATGAGAGTAGTAGTGGTGCAGTAATAGTATTTTTCTACTCTCAATCATRATGTAGCGTAGTTGTAACAGAAGTTGCAGGAATAAGCTGAAACATCCACTGCATGTAAAAAGTACTAATACGGCAGGACTAAACTACGAAGAAAATATAATACATTATCGTACTTACCGTAGGTATGTACGTTATTCAGAATACGGCTCAATCAAAATCGATTCCACCATCCCGCCAGGTCGTGCGAGTCAATGATTCGTTCGATTCAGTCACTGCGTGAATTCAAAAAGAATGTTCGATCGCCTTCGGAGACTATTCTGTTTTGGCGATTACACGCTTTTGTACGAGAAATCACAWAGCAGWAATAATGACGCACTTTACGGCAACGGCTACGACGTACTGTGTGCTCAGAACGAGTCGGTCGGGCCAATCGAATGCATCAACTAGGCTTGCCATCTAGAAGTACTGGTACCGTAAATCCATTCTGTACTTACCTTCTGTACCTTACACATACGTATGGTAAGATTCTGGTACGGGTGCGTACGTACGGTACCGTACCTCTACTACTGCATTGGCGATTGGTTTTGTGTACTAGGTCCCGAGCGAAAAGACAAGACGTTCGCAGAACAGTGCAAAACAATACGATGCGTAACGTACGGTACGATGACCAACGAGCAAAGCACAATACCGTAGGATAGCCCAAAGATCTTACTRTAGTGACCGGCCATCAGGATGTGTTTCCCACGTGCTGTGTGCTGATGGGCAAACGAAAACGGATGAATTTCACACCTCCTATCTCTTCACTGAGTTGGAACTCGCTGTAACACAACGGCATCTAACAAGCAAACTCGCTCCACCATTGGCTGCGTTTCCGAAGCACAATTCAATCTTGTTGAATCCAGATTTAGCCGAGCCTAGTATAGCTTATCAAATCCAAGAAAACCGATCGAGTTTTTGACAGAAGGKAGAATTTTTAACACAGCAGAACACAAAACCACCGGGATGAGCCAAAATACAAACGGGGCGAAAGCTACCCCAAAACGTGTCGCCGTGATCGGCGGAGGAGTCACCGGACTGTCGGCGGCCTGGCACCTGCACTCGTCGTCGTCTGTTTCGGAAGTCGTCGTCTTCGAGGCCGAGGATCGATTGGGTGGGCACGCCTACACCGTCCCCGTTCCGCTGGACGGCGACGGAAGCGTCGATGTCGACATCGGGTTTATGGTCTACAATGCTGCCAACTATCCAAACATGACAAAATGGTTTGAAGCCCTCGGCGGAGTCGAGGAGGAAGACACAGACATGTCCCTGAGCGTCAGCCTCGACAAGGGCGACTCCCTCGAGTGGACCAGCAACGGTGGGCTCAACGGACTGTTTGCCAAGCGGGGGCAGCTGGTGGACTCGAATTTCTACGCAATGGTTCGAGACATGACCCGYTTCCACGACGAGGCTYCAAAGCTGTTGCTCATGTCCGAAGATGACCCCAGAAAGCACGTGACGGTCAGGCACTACCTGAGGCAGAACGGTTACACCCCTTCCTTTGGAGTATACTACCTCCTGCCTATGATGGCCGCCCTCTGGTCGGCGAGCATGGAAGAWGTCCTCGAGTTTCCAGCGAGACAGCTGATTGGGTTCCTGTGCAACCACAGAATGCTKCAGTTATTCGGAAGGCCACAGGTGAGTTTAGTGTCAAAAATGKTTTTGTATCGTTTCGCTGTTTTTGTTAGCAGTCAGAAACTCCTGGTACTACCGAAAAATATCATTGGTGTTCCATTTGTCTTTGGTTTCAATCACGTGATGATAAGATGGGKTTCGAGCGTTTTCCTAATCATTGCGATTCCTCATCTCATGTCATTTTACTATAACTGCCTTTGATTTTGTTGTACAACAGTGGAAAACAGTCAAGGGACGGTCGCAAACATACACAAAGCGGGTCGGGGAAATCCTTGGCGAGAAACAAGTCCGGCTCTCGACASCCATTGATTCCATGGAGAAAAGCGGTAACACGTACGAGCTCTTCACAAGAAACCAAGGAAGCAACGTCAGTGTTGGGGTTTTCGACGAAGTTGTCTTTGCCTGCCACACCAACGTTGCGGCATCTATTCTCCGCGCGAGTGCTTCTAACATCCAAACACACGACAACGATTCGTTGCTAGAGCAACTGGAGTTGGTGAACATACTCAGTGAAATCAAATTCGAAGACAATGTCATTTATGTGCACAGCGACCCCAAGCTGATGCCGAAGCGTCGCCGGGCATGGGCCTCCTGGAATTGCATGGGAGATTCCGAACAGATCGAAACCGCCTTTGGAATCAAGAAGGGCAAGCAAGYAACCGAAGAAAATAACAAACACTCCGGTGCTTTTGAGGGAGCCGAATCGGGATTTGGTAACACAAWATCAGACAGGGACGAAAATCGTGACTCGACCGGGGCGGAAGCCAACGCATCATCAAAAGATACCCTTGACGGACCTGACGGGCGCATGAAAGCCGTTTATGTTACTTACTGGTTGAACAAGTTGCAAAACTTAGATGCTGGTGGCAAGGACATTTTTGTTTCACTGAATCCTCACGAGGCACCTGCCGAAGAGATGATCTACAAGAAGACAATTCTTGCSCATCCTCAGTTCACGGCGGCTAGCACAGTCGCTCGCAAGAAGCTCTCTGATTCCTTTCAGGGCCGAAATGGATTGTGGTTTTGCGGGGCCTGGCAGGGATACGGATTCCATGAAGACGGATGCCGCTCGGGATTCGAGGTCGCTACAAAACTTTCTGGCGTTCCCCTCCCATGGGCGAACGAATCAAACGGATCCGAYGACGGCGRAGAATCGACCGCACTCATGGTCCTGCCACCTCCAGATCTAGCAGCTTCTTCACTTCAGAAAAAATCCTTGTTGRGATGGCTGTATGATAAATTTTGGTACGACTTGCCTCTGGCGCTCTGCAAGCGCTTCATGCTCTACTTTTTGAAGGCCGCTGTCCAGCACGGCAAGCTGAAGATCAAGTTCAACGATGGGACCGTTTTCGAATTCGGTGACGGGGCTCCCTGYGGKTTAGGGGATGCTAGTCCTGTGACAATGCGCATCTTTGATGAATGGCTCTTCGTCAAGATTGCCTGGGAGTACGATCTRGGATTGGCGCGGTCGTACATGGCAGGTCATTTCGTCATCGAACCACTTGAGGATGTTAATGAATACAACCCCGTCCTCAGACCTGCATCTGAACGGGATGAGACCACACGGGAATGTGGGGATCCCGTTGGCCTAACTCGGTTGCTCCTCTTGCTTATGGGTAATCGGGACCGAGCTCTTGCCGATGAGCACACACCCAATACGTCCTACAAGGGATATACCGGCGCCAACCCCGTAAACGCCGGACCCTACATCATTTCGAAGATTGGATCCTTTTTGAACTTCTTGCGGTACCGKCTAACTATGGACAATTCAGAGCGCGGGGGTAGTCTCAAGAAYATCCACGCCCACTATGATTTGTCSAACGACCTGTTCACAAGTTTTCTCGACAAGGAAACACTCATGTATTCGTCTGCCATCTACGATGCTGTGAAGGCCCCCTCGCCCCAAAAGGGCTTGATTTTCCGGGGAACGCTCGAGGAAGCCCAGTGGAGAAAACTGGACACATTGCTTGATCGCGCCCAGGTCCAACCAGGACAGGAAGTCCTAGATATTGGATTCGGGTGGGGGGGTCTGTCCCTCCACGCTGCCAAGAAATACGGCTGCAAGGTCACTGGCATCACGCTCTCGGTCGAGCAGCGTGCTCTTGCCATGGAGCGCGTCGCCAAGGAAGGCCTTGAAGACCTCATTACGTTCGAGGTCATTGACTACCGCACATTTGCCCGAAAGAAGGAGAACCTCGGCCGCTTTGATCGTGTGCTGAGCTGCGAAATGATCGAAGCTGTGGGTCACGATCACCTAGGGGAATTCTACTGGGCCGTCGAGCAGGTGTTGGCACCAGATGGCGTCCTGGTCATGGAAGCCATTACAACCACCGAGGAACGCTACGAGAATTACCTAAGATCAACGGATTTCATCAACACCATTATCTTCCCGGGATCTTGCTGCCCCTGTCTGCACGCCCTTGTCGATGCCGCCTACAAGGGATCGAGGCTGACGCTGGAACATATCGACAACATTGGATTGCACTAYGCCCAGACCCTCGCCGACTGGAGGCGGCGGTTCAATGCGAACGAAGAGCTCGTCCGATCACTCGGCTTCGACGACGTCTTCATCCGGGCCTGGAACTATTACTTGTCCTACTGCGAGGCCGGCTTTTATGCCCGTAATGTCAACTGTTTGATTCTGGTCTTCTCTCGCAACGGGTGCAGTGCTCTCACACCACTCTACGAAACAAGGGCCTGCACTCAGCTCCCCGCGTTGACTGACTCAGAGGTTGCGAACTGGATGAGTGATGCTAGCAACTAAGTTAGCAACGAAWCGAATTACAAYGCAGGTAGTGCCTATCACTTGCTTGGCTTCCAAAAACAGGCGTAACTTGGTTTACCAAACAATATGAAATTCCGAGGAATCCGGGCAAATTACATGCGTTATGAATTATGCATCTAAAAAAAGACTATGAATTACCTTACTRGGCAACATAATGTTTGAAAGATTACTGGTAGTTGTAGGTTATTGCCAAAATTGAAAAGCTGCTGTCACTCCATTTTTGACAAATTTATTAATATTTGGCCTTCAAATCAAGCAAGAAGTAGAGAAACACACTACTACTGCTGGCAGCAGGAGCAGTATAAGATAGGCAAAGGCTCTAAAAGTCGCTCATTTCTGGTCTGCCCGTCAGTGTATTATTCTCCTTCTCTGTATAAGTTGATGTAGTAGTCTCTGAGCCCAAACAACTAGAGGAGTTACAAGTATAAGCACCTTAGTAGAAGGACTATTGTTAAAGATTGTTCAACATTGGCAGTCATAGTAGTTATACAACTTGTTTTCCTTCTCCTTCTTCTACTACTCCAATAGGTTTGCAACAGAAGATGAAATATCATTTTTGGACTCTAAGAAAGAAGACAAGCACATGGCTACTATCAACAACAATTTAAACCTCCTCCTGCTACTAGGAAACTGAAAAATTAATTTGTTTGGTATTGGATGTTATTTATGTAGAATCCATTTAGGCCTCAATACCCCAAAATTGCAAATAAGTTATTACATTGACAAAAAACAGATCATTTATTTTTAGTGAAATGGCACCACCATACTAGTAGGAAAAGCAATGAAATATGTACCTCAAAAACACTGCAGGAGTCTCTGGCAGCATTTTTGGCAGAGGAGGAGTTGTTGCTGTTTTTGTGGTGTAGTGGTAGTACTACTACTAGTAGTAGTAGAAGAAGAGGGATGAGAGAAGACGAGCAGCAGAAGGTAGTGTTCTCACAACAGACCACCACTGGTGGTGGCCATTCTACTACTAAATCTTCTTGAATGCACAACATAAATCCAATTGCTTGTGTCTGTAAGCAGACCAGGTTGAAACCAAGACATTTTCCAATGATCTTCCCTGCAACTTACTGTGAACAACACCAGCAGTTCTTGTATTAGCAATATTCTTAATTGGGTATTGAGTTATCCTGCTACTAGTATTCTCACCTTGTGACTTGTTTGAGTTTGAGTTTGATGTGTGATTTTAGTTTTGTGTTCTTGAGGACATCAAAATTTAGCCTGTGTTGCAGTGCTTTCTGAAGTGAGCATGATAACTTCTTTTGACGAGCTTCCTTCTTCAATGGGCCATTCCTGTTATTATGGAATGGCTACTTTTGATAGACAGATATACCAAAAATTTACCAATTCTATTTACAAACTTTATTACTTTTTGGTGGTCTCAAATTTGCCATTCTAAATGTGAAAAATCTATGATGGAGCTCATGAGTGAGAGTCTGTTGAACGACTACCACAAAGCTTCTTCTTTATGTTAAACTACACATGTGCCTTGCCCTTTTTAGTGTTTATGCTGAGCTATTTCAGATTCCAGACTCCCCAAACTAGCCAGCCTTCCTCTCGGTCTGTCCATTGAAGTTTTGATTCCTATTATTATAAAAGTTATAAATCTGCTAGTAAATCTAGTATGGGTTCAGCTACCAGGAATGGCCCCATGAAAAACTCTATCCAATCAACCTTTTCAGAACCCACATATTGAACAAAATGTCAGTCAACATATATAATTTCACAATCCTGCTCCTGGTACCCATTTTTTGGTTTCACAGACTTAAATGTGCACATTATGGCTTCATTTGCTTTACATCTTTCAATACCAATATCCATGTTGTCGTTAATCATGACAGGTTTTCTGACATACAATTTGGGCATTGGATCTATCCTTTTGGAACATTTGGTTCCGTCTACAACAATAGTATCAGCATCTGGTGAAGCAGTATTTCTGAAACTCTGACATGTCTCCATGTTTTGTGTGTGCCAATCTGCAGTTTAGGGTTTGAAGCTTTGATTACAATTGTGTGGCCTGCAGTCTATCATTTATATTTGTTGGGTGTATTACTTTGAGGAATTCAGAAAATATGACATCATTTATTCTTGGGCACTTGTCTACATTGCTGCATCATGTTGCATAAGCAATATCTTCTGGGAGTTTGTCTAAGGGCATTTTAATTCTTGAATTGATTTTTTGCACATGCTGTTCTTTCCATAAAGAATGTGTTGGAAAAGTGCACTCCCAATTATGTGCGAAGTAGCTTAGTACAATACTAATGTCACACAGAATGAATTACTTTTGATTTTCTATCGCATTTGGAGTTCTTTTTGCATTCTTTAATGGCACAGAGAGAAGTGTTGCTGATTTAGCATAATCCTCCATGATTGCCATCAACCATTGGTAATTACCAGTACTACTAGTAGTACTAGTAGTATCTTTCAGATCATCAATGTCCTCATTATCAAATGGGAGGATGCCTCCAAATTTTTCACTGTTTGGAAAATTAAGACAATTAACCAAGGGAACACCAGACTTCTCACACATCTAAATCTAAGTCATTTTTTGCAGGGTGTTTAGTTGACTACTAGTAGTAGTAACTCGTCATTCCATCTTTTTCTTTGATCTGCAGCATTTTGTTGTGGTGGTAAAGCTAAAGAACAAGAAATCATAGTAACCCAAACAGATTTCAAAAAAGGCATTGTGTTCTCTCACCAAAAATAATAGAAATAATTCTATAAATTAAGTTCATTTTTTCCACATTTGTACAGAACTCACCTTAGTTTTTGCACCGTAGTACTGTAAGAAGTAGGGGTCTGCAACGCAACGGTGTTTGAAAAATGTTGCGATGCAACGGTCCACAACGCCTTTTTTACATCCTTGACCGTTGCACAACGCCGTTGCATAATAAAATGTATAATATTAATACAATTACTTGATAGTCCCCCATACCACCACTATGATGTTGCTATTCACTTAATCATTCAAAGATGTGCCCATTTGTTTCTCATACCAATACAAATTTTCAGCTAGTAGTAGTACATACAAAGTCCTCCCTGCAATATCAGGATCAAGCTTAGTGCGTAGATCACTGATGATCCTCTGTGCCCTACTAAATATTCTTTCTGAAGGAGCAGATGTTGCTTGAACAGCAAGATACTTCCTTGCTAGAACAGCCAAGAATGTTGGACTACTACTAGTTTACTACTATAAAAAMCTCTCTGAAAATGTACAAGAATTCATAGTATTAAAATTTGCAAGAAGGGAGCAGCACCAACAAACCTAGTAGAAGAAACAAAACCCCCTGCTACTACTAAGAACACAGCAGTTCGTATTGCTCACTACTACCATAACATCCTCACTAGTAGTAAGTAGTAGTAATAGTAGACGTTTTCCAGTAGTAAGCACTACTACTAGTAATAGTCATTCAAAAGTGGTAACCAATGAATTTACCTCTCCAGTAGTAAAGACCACTAATAGAAATATTTTGGGACAAAAGTTTTTGTGTGTGGAGGGGGGGGGAGAGGGGAAATGGAGATGGGAGAATGAAAAAAATCGAATTTTTTAGTCCCATATGATTCAGTCTTGCAACGCCGTTGTGTACTAGTAGAGTGTAGCGTTGCACCGTTGCAAAAATTTTAACCCTAGTGCAGCGTTGCAACGCTCAAAAAGCGTTGCGTTGCGGACCCCTAGTAAGAAGTAAGTAGAAGTACCTGCGTTAGGCAACCCATCGTAGGTAGGACTAGTACGTACGAACTACTACCCAATTTTGAATTTTGATTTTTCCACCAACCAGAGCTGCTGGAGTGGCTGATGCGATGATGATGTGTGTGAAGGGAAGGCGGAAGGAAAACAAAAAAAAAAGCAAGTCCATCTCGTCATCCACAYCGCGTAGGAGAGCATTTTCTTCTGCTCCGGATTTTGGCCGAAGAATTCAATGATTGAGTCGGCTAACAAACTCCTCKACATATGAGATTCGAACGAGCCGTCATAGAAGTTCTTCCTGTTTCGCCCATTTCTTTCTGACGGAGTGACCGACATCTATCATCATCTCTACCGAATTCAAAAAGTACCAGTTGTGTAATTCATTGCGGTTCTTTTTCAGAAACGACTGCATTTTTTGCCGAGAAGCATCTGCAACAAGCAACAATCATTGGCCGTTCGTTTTCTCGTCGGTTCTTGTTCGTTCCTCCGTCGCCACATGAAACGGCTCCGGTCTTCTYCTTTGCGGCTCGTTCCCATTTTGTTCTTCTCGGCAGCAACAGCAACCTCGGCTTTTCTTCACGCAGCCACCGGAAGCGCCGTCTCCAAAACAAAAGTGGTGTGTACGAAGACCGTTTCCRCGACCCTCCACCTGCGTCGCCACYGCTGCACCCACGCTGTCGCACATCCATCCGGYGATTCCCGCCACGACACACGTTTTTCCGTGCCTGCCGCGATGACTGTGCAGAGAATGGCGTCATCATTGGCAGCAGCCGGAGGTGACGCGATGGTTGCTACRAACCAAAGCGATAAGAAAGAGAACCCAGCGTCTGCCACCRCCGAGGRTGCCGCCGATGYCCCYGCTATCTCCAATTTGCTGCCGTTGATCCAGAGCCCGTACGCGRCGGCCTCGAGGTTGAAGTTGTGTCCCAAGTGCCACGGCGARGGAAGGATCTCRAAGCCTATATCGAAAAAGGCGAGGCTTCGGCACCAGCGCAAACTCTACCAGCAGGAGCAGGAGGCAAAGCGAGAAAACGAAGRTCCAACCGACAACGAGAACCACAAGCGTGCCAAGCGATCGACGTCGCCACCTGCGGCGAYAGCAACGGCAAGCGAGAATCCCGGAACGAAACAGAACCAGCCACTCCCGCTGCCCAAGCGACGGTGGGATCCCTGTCCAAAATGCGACCAGACCGGCYTGTTGTTGGACGCTTYTCCCGGAAAGCAAATCCCGCTGAAAAACGATCCTCCCTTTGTGGCGATCGTTGGCGGTGGAATCGGTGGTATGGCACTGGCGGTCGCACTGAAGCACCGCAACATCCCGTTCCGCGTGTTTGAAAAAGATTCTCGGTTCGATCAACGCCGCCAGGGCTACGGGCTGACCCTCCAGCAGGCCCGCCGAGCGCTGCGAGCCCTGGGAATCTTCGAACCAAACGACGGCGACGACGACGGCGAGGAGCCGCGGGGCAATTTCGTGAGCCAGAGCGGCAGGTTGCTAGAGGAACACGCGGTCACGTCAACCAAACACGTGGTCCACACACCGGACGGCAAGCCGATCGGCGAATGGGGCCTCCGCAAGTGGGTCGGTGGTGGGGCCGCGGGGAAGGACGGCCGGGCGTGTTCGCGGGGGAACCCTGGCGGATCCGGGCCTCGCGACAACGCGGCACTTGGCATCGACACCGACACCAATGCCGCCATCAAGCCCCGGGCCACCCGGGCCAAGAACAAGAAACGGAGACAAAACCTGCACGTCCCGAGGCAGGTCCTGCGCAGCGCCTTGTGGGAGTCTCTGAAAGAAGCCTTCGGTGGTRGCAGCGGCGGGACCGAAACGGCYACCAMCACCGACGGCTGCCGGCAGGCCGGTCAAGACGATTGCAACATTTCGTGGGGACACAAGCTGGTGGACATCGAGCCCGCGGCTCTTGCGGAACCCAAGTCTTCCGCGAACACCAACAGGGTCCGCCTGACGTTTCGGGTGGAAGGGTCCGGCGGGGACGAAGACGAAGAGCAGAGGTTTGTGACCACGGAGGCCGACCTCGTCGTGGGCTGCGACGGAATCCGTTCGTCCGTCCGAAAACGGTTCCTGGAGAACGCGGCCGGCGATGGCGGTGGATCCMKGCCACCAACGCCCCTCCGGTACCTCGAATGCGTGGTCGTGCTGGGCATCTGCCCGCTCGGGGACCTGGTCCYKCGGGCCGTTGGARGAGAAAAGGACCCGACCGAGCTGTCGCCGCTCCTGGACGGGGAGACCGTCTTCCAGACCGCGGACGGGACCACCCGGATCTACCTGATGCCCTACTCAAAGAAGAAGAACGAGTACATGTGGCAGCTCAGCTTTCCGGTTCCCGACGAAAGGACCGCCCTGGACCTCTCGAGGCGCGGGCCGGAGGCCCTCAGGGAGGAAGCCCTGCGGAGGTGTGGGTCCTGGCACTCCCCGATCCCCGAGATCCTGTCGGCGACCCCCATCGAGCTGGTGTCGGGATACCCCGTGTACGACCGGGACCTGMTCTCGGAAGACCTTCTCGCGGCCTYCCGGAAGAAAAGGTCCCTTAGCGGCTCTTGCTCCCTCCCTTGCACGCTGCTGGGGGACGCCGCCCACCCCATGTCCCCCTTCAAGGGCCAGGGGGCCAACCAGGCCCTCCTGGACGCCCTGTCCCTGGCGCGGTCCCTGCAGAAGGTGCACCTCCTAAGGGGCCGGCCCCTGGGAGAGGCCCTGGAGGCCTTTGAGGGAGAAATGGTGGACCGGAGCTCCGAGAAGGTGAGGGCCTCGTCCGCGGCGGCCCGGTTCCTGCACACGGACGTGGCGATCGCGGAGGGAAACCTGACGAGGGGGGCGGCCGCCGCTTTCGCCTCGGGCAAGTCGTCTCGGTAGCGTAGTTGTGGGTTCTCTTTTCCTCCCGGTCCAAACCGCACGTGCGGAGGGCGGACGGGGATGGGGAACGATGGCGATGGCGATGGTTGGTTCCGTTTGTATTGTATCGCTCGGAGGTGGAGTCCGCTGCTTGTTGCTCCCCCGCAACGCCCTTGCGCCACCCGCCCTCGTTCGCGCGAAACAACGGCGAGGGGGGAGGCAACCGCTGTGCCAGGCCGTTTCTCGAGCGAGAACGGAAGACAATTGCGATGATATGATTCTCGAAGAAAAAAATGCGTCCAAGAAAAAGCGAGAAAGATGGGTGTTTTGTATTTTTGGTATTTTGTAGTTTGACACCCAAGGGGCACGCTGTCGTATAGATACTATGATACAAACATATGTATTCCACACTCTCCTGGAAAGGTGCGGTTCGTTTTTTTTTGGATTTGGATTACTATTCCCATTGCCTCCAACAAATCAGCAAGCATGAAAACCAACCAACCATCTTGCATCTTGCACGGGTTTTCATCGACGTGGAATTTCTCTTGACAAGCTGGAAGAGAAGCAACCAGATGACAACCGTAACACTCGTTCTGTCTGTACCGCGCCGTAGTGAAGCACCGCATCACCCAATACGGGGCGGTACTACTTGTACTCGTACGGGTACGGGTACGACCTTGTCCGTCCGCTGCGCTGCGCTACGATAGATACAGTACTGTACCGTACCGTACGTGCCTTCCTTCCGATCCACCCACCGCAGCGAATCATCGTTGCGTTCCTAAATGTGGTACCGCGATAGGCGATATCGTTAAAAATATAGATTGCTATTGCCGTGAACCAATGATGAAAGATTCATAAGCTTTAAAAACCCTTTCGCCAGGAATGAATGGCTGCGGGGGGAGACCACGGCGAGATCTCCCCCGCATTCCGCGACCAAAGGGCCCGGGTTGCTTAAGAGGGTTTGCGCGGGATTCGCGCGTAGGGGACGGTACGGAGCCCCCCTAGCGTTGCCCCCTACGGTGCGATGTACGGTGCGTACAACACAGTATTGCCGTCCACGTAGCAGCAGCACACCCCCCCTCGCCACACCACCAACAACACACACAGAACCGCAGCGGGGACGGAGGGATTGCAGCGAGACGCCGCGACACCTCCCCGTTGATTCGAGATACGAACCAAAACCCGGACTACGACCGCCCCATGGCATCACAAGTATTGTGCTAACTGTTAACTGACCAAACCACACCCACACAACCGATCCAACACACGCAACGAATCATCCATCGATCCAAACAATCGACAATACACTGCACACACATGGCTGCTACCTCTGCCGTCCGAGAGTAGGTTGCCTTACCGTACGCAACAACGACCATGTCGTCCACGAGACAGACCAAACGCAAAAGATCCAAGGCCGGATCCCCCGCTCCCTCCCGGGCAGCGGAAGCGCCCGCAACACAAGCTAGAGAAACAGCCACCGCGACGGCACCGGCTGTGCCGAAACCAGCCGCAGCGACGGCGCCAGCAACAACAGCAACAGCAACGGCAACAGGAGCAACGGCAACACCGAACGGATCCAAAATGCCGGAACCCCGATCCGCCGAGAAGCGAAAAGGGACCGGCTCCCCGCCAAACGAAGCTGTGTCAGGGTCCGAAACCGCAGCAGAAGCAGCAGCAACAGCAGACGGCTCCTCGTCCAGCCAGGACGGAACATCGACCCGGAGGCAGGCGCTGCACATTGCCAACGAGGCCACCGGAAGCGACGAGACCAACGGAAGCAGCGACGGCCTGGGGGAACTGCAGAGGCTGAGGGACCTGGCCTCGCACCGGAAGATGCTCCTGCGACGCGTCAGGGCCTGCAGGAAGTCTGCGGAGAAGCGCATCGGGGACAGAACAAACACTGCCAGGGGGGACAACAAGAACAGCAGCAGCATCACTAGCAGCAACACCAGCAGCAACAGCATCACCAACAACGCCAGCGGCGGTTCAAAGGACACAGAGCAGCCACTAGGCGATCCGAAAGCCTCCGCTGCCGCCTCGGACGACCGGGAAATCGCCGCCTTTCGGGCGATGACCGAGGAAGCGGAAAGGGCCGACAAGAAGGCCAGGGAAAAGGACGGCGGGACGAAAAAGAGGACCTCCCTTTCCCTGCGGCGGGGATCCCACGTGGGGAAGCGGATGAACTCGGCGCTCTCCTCGCTGGCCCCCGGCTCCCTGGCGGCCACGGCGGCGGGGGTGGGAAGCGGAACCGGGACGGAACCACCTTGCACGGAGGCCGCCGCGAGGGCGAGGGCAAGCACCCCCAAGGCCGCGGGCCCAGCGGCCGTCTCCAGGGCCCCCCACCCTTCCTCCGGGACCGCACCGCCCCCCACCAAGGCGGCCGCCCCGAAACCGGTGGGCCGGCCCCCTTCCTCGGTTTCGAGGACTTCCTGGGCCACCGCAAGGGTGGCCCAGGCGGGACCCCCCCGGTCCTCGGGGAAGCCGGGCAGCGGCAACGGGAGGCCCGATGCCCCGGCGAGGGGCCGGCCCCCGGGCACCAAGGCCCCCAGGGCCTCGAACAAGTCGGCGGTTCCCGCGGGCCAGGCCCACTCGCTGGCGGCCCGAAAGGCCGCCCCCGTTCCGCGGGCGGGGGGATCCGGCCTCGGCCCCCACGCCTCCTCCAAAAAACAACAGCAGCAACAGCAGCAGCAGCAACAACAACAACAGCCGCAGGCGCCGAGGGTGGACTTTCCCGAGGCCATTGCCCTCCGCGAGAAGCGGGACCGGATCGAGCGGAGGCTGCGGTCCGTGCTGCTGGAGCAGCAGCGCACGCAGCGACAGCCGCAGGCCCCCTTTGGCCGCTTTGGGTCCCTGCGGGGCAGCGAGGCCCTTCCGCCCCAAACGTCCGTCCTCGACGACGAGGCTTCCCGGCGCAAGGCCCTCCCCATGGCAGGAATGACAAAGCAAGCCCCCAAGCCCGCCAAGGCCGTTGGGAGCCTCCACAACTGTACAAAGAACAACAAAKGCATCGCCGCTGGGAACACGATCGGTGGCACAACCACCGGAAGCGGGAGTTGCGCCCATTCGATCCTTGGCCTGGAGATCCCTCCCCCGGTGCAGCTGCCGGCGAGGCGGAAAACCCACTGGGACACGGTGCTGCAGGAAATGTCCTGGCTGGCCTCGGATTTCATGGAGGAACGAAAGTGGAAGCTCTCCGCCGCCCGCCTCCTGGCGTCGAGGGTTCCTTCCAGCGGACCGTCCGCTGGCGACCGGCGAAAGAGGCCGCTGCCGGACGGAAGGGGGGCCGCCGAAACCTCCGCTTCCACCCCGATGGAGATCGATGCGGCGGCCGGGAACGAAAGGGGAGACGGCATGGAAAGCGGCGAACCACACGCCCCCGGAGAAGAACCCCCGCCCGAAACGGGCAGGGATTCCAAGCGGGCCTACAGGGACCCCACGCAGGGGGATCGGGAGGCTTCCCGGTCCGCGGGCAAGCTGCTCTCGTGCATGGTTTCGGGACTGGGCCGCGCCCTGGCCGAGGGGGGATCCCTCGGGGCCTCCGACTCGCACCAGCACGCCGCCCTGGAGCGGTACTTCCGTTCCCGGTCCGAGATCCTCGGGGAAGCCCACCCCTCGGTCGCAACCGCAGGGGCAACCGCAAGCGCAACCGCGGGGGATGCCTCTTGCGGAAAGGGGGCGGGGGCAGCGGAGAAAAAACCCGAAACCGGCCGGGCCGACACTTCGAGCTCTGGTGGCGAAGCAGACCCATCCACCGTCGACGAGTGGCTGGACCACTGCCACTCCCTCGGCGGGTCGAGGCACAAGATTTCCGCAAAGGAAACCTCGAGGGCCCTCTCGTCCGGCAAGACCAAGCTGGGCACAAAGCAAAGGGAAATGCTCGAGTTTGTCGACAAGCTGTGGTCCGGGACTCCTTGCGCGGGGGCCCTGGTCACCGGCCCGTCGGTCTCGGGGAAGACCTTTGTTTCCGCCACCCTGGTCTGGAAGCAGCGATCGAACGGGTTCCAGGTCGTGGTATGCCCCTCGGGCAGCCTGGTGCGTTTCGTGCGAATCTTTTGTCGTTTTTGTGTGGAAACAGCTTGTGTGAAACCAACCGCTCGTGTGGCGTTGTGTGTGCGTGTGTGTATAGTATATGCATTCCATTCAGAATCTTATTCCTCACCACGCATCTTGTTTTCCGTTTGTTTGTTGCCATGTTTGCATCCGCACGCGTTTCGTTTCGTTTCTTTCCAACTCTTAGATTCGCTGGAAGCACGAGTTGAACCGGTTTTCGAACCTTCGTGTTCTCACATTCGGCTTGACCGGGGGCATCAGCAATCCCAGTGGCGAGAGCAACGTCGAAACAATCGAATCGGGGGACGTGATTCTTTGCGAGTACGGCTCGGTTCACCCGATGAAGAATGCTCTGTACAAAATGGGCTCGTCTCCCTTCTCGGTAGTGGTGGACCTCCGCCACTTTTTTGGCCTCCGCAGGTCGCTCGGAGGAAAGGCGTCCGCGGGGAGAGACATCAACGATTTCCCGTCCGAAATCAAATCGAGGAGCTGGTGGGGAGACGTGGTTGCCCTGGTCGAGAAACGGGACACGCGGTGCCTTCTTCTCGAATACCAGGACGACGGGGACCCGCTCTCTCTGTCGGAATGCGGCATCGGGGAAAAAGAGCAGATTGGCATTCTGGCACAGAGAGCGGCGTGCATCATAGGACCGGCGGCGTTTGCCTCCGCGTCGCATTCCGTGCAGCGAGAGGCCATCGCATGGGCCCGCAAGAAAGGAAAGAAGGACATCACCGACAAATTGTTGCGCGTGAGGAAGGTCCTGGGCGATGCCATCGATCCGATGTGTTTCCATCTGGCAAAACCAATCGTTTCCCCCATGGATTCTAAGTGGGAGCTCCGCCGGTGCGGGATGACCACCTCTCAGCGCGAGGAATACGACAGGTGTTGTTTGGAGGTTCGGGGGGCTCTGGCTTCGACGCTGTGCGGAGAATCGGATTCCGATACGCGCGGCTACTCCTCTTTCGTGGTATCGAGCGCTCTTTTTAGTTTGAGACAACACTGTTTCTACTCTCCGAAGCTTGCGATCCGACCACACTCTGCGTTGTACGACAAAGCTGGCAGGATTCCTCGTGTGCGCGACGGACTCTTCTCGGCTTCGGGCGCCGGGGGAACGAGCTCCGTTGTCAATGTGTCCCAGCCGGACGCCTACAACGCTCTGTCGATTCTCAACAGCTCCACCAAACTGCAGCAGCTTGTTTCGATCCTAGTGATTGAAGGGGAACATCACATCCAGATTCAAGGAAACGCCGATGAGATGTTTTTCAAGATGGGGATGATACCCACACCATTATGGGCTAAAAACAGGAAAGATGCGAAGGAAGCCAAAAAAGTTGTGATCCTAGCAGCTCTCCCGGGCATTCAACACGTAGTCTCTGCGCTATTGGATTCGTTGGGGATTCAAAACGAATTGTTGGGCATGCCTGGCATGTCTGTAAACCACAGCGACTGCGACGAGACCAAATTCTCGAATCCGGACAATTGCACGAAACAACGCAACGCCATTGCATGGGCCAAGTCCCAAACTATCTTGTCTGCGTTTGTAGGTGAGAATGGTCGTAGAAAGACAGATGTGATCATTGCAGCACCGGCTGCGTTTTCTGGAGCAAACGACGGCGCCGGGGTTGAAGGTGCCGACATGATTATATCATTGGACACCGATTGGTCGAGGAGAGACGATTTCATAATCGACACCTTGGTCAGACGGCTGTGCGCGAGAAATAAGTTTTCTGGCAAAGACGATACATTGATCAGACTCGTTTGTGCCGATTCGGTCGAGGAACAAGTATTTTTTGACGTTGACGGCGAAAACGAAGCGTGCGATTGGCCTTTGGATACCAACGGGTTCTTTACTTTGCCTGACTCTGAGGAAGAAATCTTGCGATGTTACAAAGACCCAACGAAAGGAAATACTTCGCCCTTTCCTGCTACAGGGATATTGCGAAAACGAGGCGATTTGCTTGAAAACGTCCTCCAGTCGTCCGGCAGCCTTCCATCTTTTTTCGGATCTGTCGCAAAGTTTCTGCCGAAACGTATTCCAGTCAACGGCTACAAAGGAATGGCCGATGCGGAAACGATTGGCGAACTTCAGTTTCTGAGATATTTTTTGCGGAGCGAAGAAAGAGGTGCGGTCCCCGTGGTTGCGTCAACCACGGTAGCAAAGCGAATGGTAACTTCAGAAATTATACCGGTTGGGTTGACGAGTCGACAAGATTTGCCGGTGATCGAGTCACGGTTGTTTTTGGAGAAATGCCTCCATGCCAATACACTCTTAGGAAGCAGCGCCGAAGACAACTCTTCTCTTCACGTACAGCAGCCCCACGTTTCATTGTTGGCTGGTGGTCAAGCCGCAGAAGAATCGTTCGTACCCAAGATTGACGAGAATCCATCTGCCTTGCTTTTCTATGAACCCGGGCCTGGCTCGCCAAAGAACACCAACAAGGCTTCTCAGGGGCGGTACAATGCCTTTGCGAAAGTGTTCAGCAAAAGTTGGAACGGAGTTTCGGTTAGAGATGGAAATCAAGGTTGCGAACCACTCGTCTTTTTTCCTCCTCTGTTTCCATTGCTGGAAGAATCGTCGAAGAAAGCAAGAATCGAGTATTTATCGACTCCAAAGGCGAATGAAATTGGGTTGAACAACAATGAAGAAAACAGTACCGCTCTGAAGAGAAAGGACCGTGATTTCGAAACGACCGAGAACGATGTCAAAGGCGATAGAAAACGACCAAAGACACAGTCTTCAGCAGCGCACATCACAAATGGGCACGCAGATGTGGTTTCTTCTAGTGGCATCTTTGTAAAAGAATCATCGGCAGAACCTAAAACCAGCGCAGTTGACCAATTGGAAAAGAAAAATAAGAACGCTGATTTGACCAAGAACAAAAAGGAATTTAAAGACAGTGGGGCAAAGGATTCGCGTTTCATTTTGCCTGAAGATGATTTTGGATTGCTAGGCACCGGGGCCTTCGCAAGACCGATTGATATTGTTTCGTCTTCAGCTCGTGATCCACGACCTAATTGCTCTTCTCTATCACATAGCAATGAATACGATTGCGTTTCATACCAAATGCCTTGCGACGCTGAAGAAGCTAACAAATCAGCCATGGACGTGATGGATGAAGGTATGAACTCGGTGATTCTTTTCGTCAAGAAACGACCACGGTCTTCGCAATCCCCATATAAGAATGGTCAAGGACTATCCAATATAACTCCCTTGTCAATTAATAGTAGAATTACAGGGGATGAATCAGGGAAGAAAATGAGGAAAAAGGGATCTCAAGGAAATGCAATTTCGACTCCGACTGCTTTCACAAGACTTCCTACCAAAGCATCTAGCGCCAACAATCAAATGTTATCTAGAGTTTCATCAACAGCCTCAAAGCAGGTGAAAGGCGACTTCCGTCACAGACTACTTGCTTCATTGAAAGCAACAGGTGTAACACTATTTGATTCGATTCCATACAAAAAAGCAGGGTTGCGAGTAGAAGAAAGGATATCAAAACGCCTGGAAATATTGATGTGGAAATCTACTCTTGCTATGGATTTAGGACCTGGTTTACCAATACAACTCGCAGAGAAGTTATATTCCATCGACAAAGACCAGAACAACGGTCTTGACGGCTGGGCTAGCATTATACAACAGCCGAAGGATGGAGCAAGTACAGGTGACCTTGCAATATCGCAGTCAAGTATGCAAAGACAGGCGTTCAAAAGATCTCTGGTATCGCCTCGATGCGTTGACTTCGGTGTGTTTGAGGTCGGGTATTTGGGTTCGCCATCAGGAATGACAGCTATATCTGCAGCACATTCTCGCGTTGGAGTATCTTTGCCTATGGGCGTAAAGGTTATGCAGCCAACTGAAGATCAGATAAAGCATTCAACATGGAAGGTTGGGGATGATAAAATCCTCCAACATACGGCCAACAAATTCGGAATGAATTGGTTGCTTGTTGCTAGCGCAATGAGCGGTTTCGAACGTGCAATTATCAATACAAATTCTTCCGGTGAAGACCAAATTGTACCCTCGATCCCAAAGTCTGCGCGACAATGTCGTGATCGGTGGCAACTTCTTGTAAAGCGCCAACCTTCACTCGCAAACGAAGTTAGACGGAAGGAAGTTCTTTTCCATCAACGCGCTTTGTCACGATTCTGGGCAGTTGAGAGGTTTGATGATTTGAATAAGGTAGAAACTCAAATGCTCTCGACACAGGGTGTGAGCGTGTTTTGTAAATCTTCCGATTTTCTAAATCCAACTGAGACGATTCAATCCATAGCAGATACAGATATGTCTGGTGTCGATCAGCAAAAAGATTTAGCAAAAGTTTCGAGTGATGTTCCAACAAAGTCCAGCTCGATCGATTCTCCAAGAAGTACAGTTGACAAGAAAGATGACGAGATTCCTAATAAAGACATAACTGGTCATGTTTTACAAGACGTTGGAATGACTGATGCTTTTCCACCAAAGAAAAGTGAGCCAAAAAGACGAACATTTTCGGCAATCAAGATGGCCAGATCAAGAAGACAGGTATTTCCAATCACCATTCCTGGTATCGACATGGGTGGGAACCAAGCCGGCCACCCTGTCCCATCTCATCCATCCCACATGCAGTCCGTTCAGATGTCTGTCACCGCCCATCTCGCGAGTGGAAGAACTGAAATGTGGCCTCTTCAAATATTGGATCTCGCGGATAGACAAAGAAGCAATGCTGCACGTGCAATGCATCCAACTGCTCATAGCAACCATCCCCGTCACCACCAATCTGGTCCATCCTATCAGCATAGACCACAACATCCCTCGAAGTCTGGGGCTGTTCGAACTTCTGTTGGATATTCTCCTGGACTAGCAAATAATGTGGTCTCAAGGTCGGTGAATCCTTCTGTGCCGCCACGGCACCAGCATCGAAGTCCCTCGGTAGCGGCAGTAACTGCACAAGCATATGTTCCGCCACAAACCAACTCCAATATGACGGCAAAAAAGAATGATAACAAGAAGCTATCAAGCAAAGCTAACCCCAAGAATGGGTAAGAAAATTGTTAGACTTGTCCTTTCTTTTTTGCTTCGAGTCATCGAAATCATGAATGAAACAGATTCCGCTAATGTAAATAATAATGTAAGAAGAGTAATAGAGATAAACAGATATTTTGGGAGCATATTTTTACAACAGTATTGAAACCAACTCAGTCTTTTTGCACACCAATAGAGAGCACTTCAAGCTTCCAATTATCGACATTCAGCGGAACCAAAGCAGCACTGATCAACAAATTTCACAATTTGAGATCAGTGACAAGCGAAACCTTCGATTCGGCAATATATTGTAGTCATCCAGTATAGCAATTTCGAAACAGGGTGGCACATTTTTTCGATGTAAAATTGTGCTCGTCACACGTGATCAAGAAAATCAAGTGCATCGTTCTGCTGGTATGACATTCCATATCCATAGTGTACTACGGTGGAAAGGAGTGCATCACATGCACATATTCTTTCTTTCTGGTGGGCAATCGCTGACTTCTTTCCCCGAGGGCATCCCGTGGAAAGGAGTGCATCACATGCACATATTCTTTCTTTCCGGTGTGCAATCGCTGACTTCTTTCCCCAAGGGCATCAAGTCTCTCACAAAGTCGTCAGGGTGGTACTCTTGGTATATGGTATCCTCCAAATTGATAGACCTCGCCACTAAATCAGGATTGAGGTAAAATGCTGCCTCGCTAAGAGCGCTCAGCCCGTGCAAGAGGAATGTGCACTTTGACAAGGCAAGGAGATCCGTCAATGCTTCAATGTTTGATCGATGGGGAGAAACACCCAAAGCAAAAGAAGCTGTTTCGTTCCGACTGAGTGCCACTGCGGTAGACTGTCTCACTATATGTTCGACGACGTGTGCTGGCCATTCCTGTAAAATGGTCTCAACTACCTTGATAGAATCTGTCGCGACATAAATCGAACCTCCTCCATTATTCACAAATGCTTTTGCAAATTCCAAAAACCTGCTCGTTTCTATAATGTCTCGCTCGATTGCTTTATCTCCATGTCGAATGTGCTGAATGAGAAACATATATTTTGTCAGTTCACACCTCAATGCGTTTTCGACGTCCTAAAAAACACCAAACTTACCATACCAAGAGAGAATTTAGGAGTTGGGAAGGCGCAACGGGCACGACGCTCCATCATGGGATTAAAGCGGATATAACGCTCAGTCACTGCTGCACCGTGTTTTCGTTGAGGCTCAAACCATTCGTCCCAAGACAAGTCATCTCTAGTGAGATAATCTGCTTCAGTTGTACGCCATGCCCGTGGGGTGTATGGAGCGTTGGAATGAATGCCAGGGACAATGAGATTGTTGTCCATCTGAACAATTGGCTTGTTCCGACACGAGGTGTCTCCGGGCACAAAGTCATTGGGTGGCAAAAAATAATGTCTCCAAACACCCGTCCCATTCACGGCGTATGTGCTGGAACGAAGTGGTCGGTCGAGGTATGGTTTTCCTGGAAAAATATGCCACTGCCCATCTCTTGGATCCCGGGCCCATCCAATGCCCATGCCGTGCTTCATTCGAAAGGTTACAGGGTCTGCGCTACTAGTGTTCATGTGAACTATAGGATCCCAAATGGGCCTCGTATACCCGCTGTCGATGTGAATCCACGGTAGGTAGTTGTGCTGATCTGCCCAAGCCAGCATGCCAATCGTGAACATAAAAAAGGCCGTTCCGCTAGCAGCCCCCACATCAAAGTGACTGATGTGCAGGACCCCATCGTATCCCTCGCATGCCTTGTTGGATGCTTTTCTCGGTTTGGGTGGTGAGGTGTCAATGTATTTCATAAATTTCTCGCATTCCTCTTCATCCATCGAATTGATTGACGATTCTGAGTTTTCGGCTTCAGTCCAGGAAACATCCCTTCTGGGTTCGTGCTTGGGAAAGTAGTCCCAGTCTACAACTTGAGCATTTGGATCTCGGAAATACATATCTTCCTTTTCTTCTCCTCCTTCTCTTTTTTCTTCGGTATCATCGCCTTCGTCTGGATCCCCTGGTCCTGTTGCTCTTCGATTATCTTTTTTCTTTTGACTCTCGGAGGCATCTTGTTTGTATCTTTTCTTTTGGTATTTGTGTTTTTTCTGTTCGTTTTTTGCATCTGCTCTGTTCTCTCTCTTCTTTCTTTTTGTAGCTACGATTTGTTCCTCTTCTCCTGCCTCGTGAACTGCTATTTTGTTTCTCTTCTCGATTCCCGAGACGGCAAGCACGTGTCCTGGTTTTTCTCGATCTTCTCCCAACACGCTACCGAGACGATGGTCAACCTCGGCACCGCTGATGTTCTGTGCATAGTCCGCGCTTTTGAACCTAGTTGCATCCACGTCGGCATGGAACCGTGCGAACGAAAGTATCTGGATAGATGCGACAAGAACAAAAGAAACCACAAAGAACAGCGATCCCCGACGTCCTCGGCGGTGTTTCTGTTCTGGGTCTCGCCGAAGTGGATCGCAATCGGAACCACGTGCGCTGGTGAGATCACGATTGGAAGTCAACATCACGGTAAAGAAATGCACCAAGATGGTCGGATCGAGGGACCATTGTTCTATTCTTCAATCCGGGAATTTACGCTGGGAGCCTTGACGAGTAGTCGACACCTTTCTGAAGGCTTCATCAAGAACAAGATTTTTCAAGGTTTTACAGTAACAGTATCTATGAAATTCCTGCTCGTACCGGTACGAACTCCTAGGTAGTGGTATCATGCACGTGCACGTGCACGTTGCATTTACTCATCTGCCGTAAAATTGATGTAAAGTACGTACGGTACGGTACTCGTACTCGTGCCTTATCTTGACACATACAGTAAAACTTGAATTCTCAGTCCGGGTACATGTACGTACGGTACGGTGAATCTAAGGATTAAAAGATTAGTAAAAGAATGATGATAGGGCTCGCCAGAAATGGTATGTGTAAAGTAAGAGATCATTACTACTAATCGTACGTGGTCGTTTTTGTTTTGCTTTGGTTCATGGTTATGCTAGGGGTCCGCAACGCAACGGTATTTGAAGAAAGTTGCTTTGAAACGGTCCGCTTGGAATGCATAGTTCTGAACTTCACCACAACATTTTCGATGTTGTGGTTTATCATGATGGTAGCCTTAGAACGCTCGGTTGTTCAATCCCTGTTAAATCCCTATATTTCACCGTGGTCGATTCTTGATCAATTCCTAGTCGATTTGCTTTGCATTAATCAAACTGAAATTTCGTCCACATGTGGCAGTTGCTGTAGCTTTTGTGAAAGTGTGGATGATTGGCAGCATGGKGAGAACATCCCGAAACGCGTCGCGGCACGGTGGGTGAAATAGAGAAAGATAGAACCCAAACCAGGAATGGCAACAACAGAGCAACGATCGGATGGAGTGGGCTAGGTTTGGATAAAACCTGAACAATGGAATAAAAACGACTCTCGCGACGCACGCACAATCGCAGCATTCGAAGGTGGTGAACCCTTCGAAAGTTGCCACACACGAACTCCTGCATCGAGGATCCCACCGCCAGCTTTTGTGTTGTTTTGCTTCGACGGATGCGAGGCGGTAGGAACTGGCAATCACCATTGCTTCGCTAGGCTTTGCTCGCACCTCTCACGAGCGGCCCCCAGGGGAGGCAGAGAAAGGCATCCCTTTCGCTGCCACTGCAGACGCTGTTGGCGACGAAGACTGGCGTCGTTCTCAACGTGTCAACGACACGCCAGAAGCAAACCCGTATCGGTCGTTTCGTTTTCGTTTTCGTTTTCGTTTTCGTTTCGCTTCGTTTCGCTTCGTTCCGTTCCGTTCCGTTCCGTCACTCGATCCATGGCTTCTATATCGCGGCGGTCCGCGGCGTCGATCCGTCGCCGCTAGGGACCGTGCGGGACCCGGAACCGGCGGGGGAAAGGGGCACCGCTGCGCAAAAGGGCCGGCGGCAGCACGGGCACACCGTGCGGTGGGGGCCGTCCCTGCCCGCCAGCCACTCGGAAATGCAGCCCGCGTGGAAGGCGTGGGGGCAGGTCCCTTCCGCGGGCGCCGCCGCCCGAAGCCGGCAGACCGAGGCGTAGGCCACCCGGTCTCCGGCCCGGTAGGAAGACAGGCAGATGGCGCACGAGGCGGGGACGGTCCGACCCGGGGGCAGCCGGAGCTCGGCAAAGGGCTCGTCGTCGTCGTCGTCGTCGTCCGCATCCGAGGCATTTCTGTCGTTGGGTTCGACGGCGTTGGTTTCGGGGTCGAAGGAAGCTTCGCGTCCACCATCGTTTTTGTCATCGTCGTCGTCTTCGCCCCGCCCCGCTCCCGGCTTGCGCAGTAGGTCACTCGCCCGGACCACAAAGGTTGTCTCTTTCATCGCTTCCCCGAGCCGCTTCGCCCGCTCCCCGGTAGCATCGGCATCGGCAGCAGGAGGTGCCCCGCTGTCGTTCAGGACCCGCAGCGTGAGAACCCCGGAGCCGTCCACCGCCGTCCACAGGAGGACGCTCCCGTTTGTGCCGCCCAAGACCACCAGGCCCCCGAGCCCTCCGTCGGTGCCCTCGCCGCTTTCCTCGCGGCGGCGGCGTTCCTGCTCGTTGCGCTCCAGCTGCCTCCGCCTCCGGAGCGCCAGACAGGTCGGGGCGAGGCAGCAGGCGATCATGGCTACGTACCAGAAGACAAAGGAGACGAACTGGTACACGCCCCCCGGCCCGGTGTCCCCGTCGTCGGCCTCGCGGTTCGCGCCGCCTAGAAAGAGCCACCGCCGGGCGTGGTGGATGTGGATCTCCCCGGATGTTTCGGAAGCCATGGCGTTCTAGCTCTCTCTCTCTTCCGGACGGTATCGCAGTATCTTTTCGTATTTCTGTAATCCAGCACCGTTTCGCAGTATCTTTTCGTATTTGTGCACTCAGCAATCATCAATCATATGGCCCCGATCCTTCGACGGATTGTTTCATGCCGGATTCTGACAAAGAACACAAGAAGATCTGTTGGTTCGTATGGTACGTGGAGGTGTACTGTACCAGGTCACTCGCACCGTTGCCAAAACATTCATGGCAGTATCTTTTCGTATTTGTGCACTCAGCAATCATCAATCATATGGCCCCGATCCTTCGACGGATTGTTTCATGCCGGATTCTGACAAAGAACACAAGAAGATCTGTTGGTTCGTATGGTACGTGGAGGTGTACTGTACCAGGTCACTCGCACCGTTGCCAAAACATTCATGATTGAAAGGCCAGGATTCATAATTGAATCACCTCGAACCATTTTGTTTTGTTTTGAGGGGAATCGATTCGGTCATTCAGTCATTTTAAAAACAAGCTCAGTAGAACCTGGTACATGATGTACGNCATTTTGTTTTGTTTTGAGGGGAATCGATTCGGTCATTCAGTCATTTTAAAAACAAGCTCAGTAGAACCTGGTACATGATGTACGAGCAAAAGTTAATAACTTCAAATCAAAGTTTAGAACTTGAAATTATTACTTATTGCTCTCTGGCGGAGTCCGGTTTCAATTGTTACGAAACTCGTAGTAAGGCTACTGCAGTTGCCGATATTCCCCCATAGTGGGTTCGGGATATACCGTACCGCAGGCTCCTTTTATCTTTTGTTTTACGTCGTGACGATCACTTGCGTGAGCTTCAATCACGAGTAAATAGCGACTAAACTCGCTCCGTCTTGCAAACGCCGTATTCGTGCTGTACGTCCTGTGATGATCCTAATAGCATTTCACGGATTGCTCCTCGGAAAAGCAGAAAACAGAGTAACAGCAAGACACCCCGGAACGAACCAACTGACACACACACACACACTCACACAGACAACTGGAAGTCGCCGCAATTCTTCCATGAGCGGAAGCGTCTGCGCGGCGGGGGGTGCGGTTGCAGAGACGGACCCCCCCGCGATGTCTTTGCCGGGAGGCGACGAAGCCCGCGGTGGGTTTGGGTTTCGCTTTCGCCGATACCGGGAAGAACTGGCGCTCCGGCAGAGGAAGCAGGGGAAGGTGCGACTGCAAGACCAACCGGACGGCTTCCCGGACGCACCGAACGGGACCGCACCGGGGGAAAAGGCCTCGAACGACGGTCCGGGAGAAAACGACCGCAAAGACGACGACAACGACGACGGAGGAGGAACCGTGCTGCGGGATCTGTCCGGTGCCCGCCTGGTTGTTGACGAAAACGGCTCGGTTTCTGTTTCGTTTGCGGACACCGAAGGGGGGCCGGTGCACGGTATCCCGTCTATGGTCCCGGAGGGAACGACCCTTCTGCTTCGGAACCTGAGGGACTGCCGCGTCGCAATGTAAGCAAAACAAAGCGAAGCGAAGATCTTTCTTGTTGTTGTTGCTGCTACTGCTGCCGTTCCTGTTGCCATGCATTCTGCGGCTCACCGTTCCTTTTCTGTCTCCTTCTCGGCTTTCCGGGTGTCGCTTTGCCTTGAATTGCCTTGTCGCATTGCGTTTGGCGTTTCCTTGTTGGCCGCCAGACACCTGCCCCTCCCAGCGGTGCACCTGGTGGGAATCCGGGGCACCGAGGTGGACTTTTTCAACGGCGGGAGCCGTGTTCCAAGCGGGGGGAGCCTCCCCACCAACACCACGATCCACGCGACGGACTGCCACGGGGGGTCGGTCCTCCGGTTCGAGCGTCCCGCCCAGCAGCTCCGCATCCACGGGTCCATCGGCCTGGGCATCGGCGTGGCCGAGAGACCGGGGGCCCACCGGGGGGCCGCCTCCACCACCCCTGCTTCCTCCCCCGACCGGCAGTGGAAGCCCGGGAGCATCATCCTGGAGGCCTCCCGGGACCTCTGTTTCACCGTTCCGCCCATCGACCACCGCGCCCTCGAAGCGGACACCAGGGCCTACTGGCACGGGGTCGTGGTCCGGGACTTTCACTGGCTCCGGAAGGGCGTCCCGAGCCCCAACTTCCGGGTCGAGGTCCTCGGTGGCAACCCCCCGCGGGGGGAGGGGCCGCTCCCGGGCGAGGAACGCGGCCCGTCCGGCGAAACGAATCGCGGGGAGGATTCAAGCGACGACTCGGACGACGACGAGCTCTAGCAACGGATGCGAAAGGTTGCGACCGGTGGGGTGTGCGCAGAAGGGCACACTCGCAACACGTTCGCACGGCGATAGCTATAAAAATTACATTTACACCCTAATCTGAAGGAAATGCTGGAAATACCCATACAGTGGCGACTGGCAGGGGAAAACCTACCATCCTATGCAAAGCACTCGCCAAGAAAGAAGTCTACAACTCTTCAAAAGGTTCCAGTGTCAACGAAATTATACTATTACAAATAGGAGCCATACTTGTTAGAAAGTATTTTTCTCGTAGAAACATTACATATGCACCGTTGCATTTCCTTTTCTTGTTTCTTAATTTCCCCTTTCGTTTCATCCCTGTCTACAACCGACTCACTTCGGATGCCTCCTTGAATGAAGAAACCAATGATCATTCAACAATCCATTTTTTCCAACAATAGGTGGTCTCTCTTCAGGGTTTCTACGAAGGCATAATTTCATTGCATGAATCGCTGCCTCTGCTTCGTCGTCTTCTGGGAAGTGAATTTTATGTTTAGGATTCACGATGGCTTGCAGCTTTTGGATGAAATGGAGCTTGTAAAATGGTGTCTTCCCGTATACCATTTCGTATAGAATACAGCCCAGTGACCATACGTCGGAAGCACGTCCTATCTTCATTCGAGGTCCATCCTCCCCAGAACCAGTGTCAAGTATGGCCTCAGGCGACATGTAGTTTAAGGTACCGATATGATTTTCACGATAAATATTGGTTGTATCATCGTTCACTATGGCCTTGGCAATACCAAAGTCAATCAGCTTGAGGGCGCCTCTTACAAAGAGGAAATTGGCTGGCTTCAGATCACTGTGAATAATCCTTTCTTCATGGATGCAATGGACTGCACTGAGCATTTGCTGCCAGGTCAATCTGATAAAATTCATATTCAATGACCTTGATCTTTCAGAGAGGGCTCGTTGTTGAAGAACATGATTCAGGTCTACTTCACCTAGCTCCATGACAACAAATATAGATTTTCGTTGTAAATCCACTTCGCTGTCGTACATTTGAATTATTGCTGGGTTGCCTCGGAGCCGTTTCAACAAAGAAATCTCGTTTGCGTATCCTTCAATCGCTTTTTTCTCCATTCCAGCGAGTTTTACCTTCTTTATCGCCACGACAGAACACTTCTTGGAAAGAGCCCGATATACTTTACAGGACCCACCCTTTCCAATCACTCCAAGTTTAGCGTAGGTCGATCCACGCACTTTCAAAATATTATCTTCGTGAACTAGCGGAAGAAATTCCAAGTTAGCCTTGGCAACTAGAGCTTCGCGTCTTGACATCGCGGAATTATCCACCTGATTTCGAATGGATTTATCACTCCCAAGTTTCTTCCGGTCGACATCTGATTCAGGATTTTTTGCGAGTTCTCCAAGTGTGGCGGAGTCATTCTCTTCCTTCTTCATAGAGACAAGCTCGCCTGCCGGTGTTGTCTGTTCCGTTGTTTGCGATTGGCGTTGCGATTGTTTGTCAGTGGAAGAGGAATGAGCAGCATCTTTTTCGGCCGAGGCGTTTTCCTCACTTGATCCTGATTGATGAGTATTGATTGTAGAGAGCTGTGTGTTGTTAGTTGACACTCCACTTCCGGTCGAATTGCTAGCATCAGATGACTTCTGGTTCTCAATTTCGTTCTGATCCTTTCCTTTTTTGTTTGGATCCCATTCCCACATGTAGCTCAGATCCAACTTCTTGAAAGATGACAATTTTGATGACGACTTTCCTTCTGTCGATTTGGATTCAGTCGAGCGCTCTTGTGTCTTTAATGTCGGCTTTGTGCTATCATGTTGGGAATCGTCATCACTAGAGAAGTCATCGTCATCGTAGGTGACAGAGCAGTCAACTCGCTTTGCTTTTCCACTCAAACCCTTCCGGGCCAATCTTGATGTCAGTGCAAGTCTCGTCTTGCTAACAGGAGGTTTTCCCTGACTAGCTGATCGACCAATAGCAGATGTTGGGCCAACAACTGTCTCCCCTAGTAAGCTAGAGCTCTTATTTGTCTTTTTGGAACTATCTGTGGTCATTGGTTGAACTTCTGTTGAAAGTTTCTTGCTAACGGCTTCTGTTTCGGTCGATTTATTTCGATCTAGCCTTGGCCGTTTTGGTGACTTTCCACGAACGTCACATCCTAATATCTGACGTTTGAATTGTGGAGTGGGATAGTACTCTCTGTTTGGACTAGGATTAATCTCGAATTTGATAGATCCCAATGAGACCTCTTTCTTTTTCTCCGACGCAGGAGTTCCTTTCATCCTGAATCGCCTTGTAACTTCATCGGAATCAACATCACTGCAATCAAGAACTGTCAATGCCTCTTCCAAAACTGAGATAGGTTCTGCCTTCTCCTTTATACCTCGCAGCAAAATTTGTCGGGCTCGAGTCTTGTCGTGGCCATAATTTGATTCGAAGTCCGCAAAGGATAGGTAAAATACAGATGCACTTCCAAATTCTTCTTTCTGCTGATCAATTGATGAAGCATAATCCATCAATGCACTTTTATTATCTTCCATGAATTTGAATGTCCTACGCGATTCTTCCAAATTTCCGACCTTAGCATGAACCTTTGCATAGCTGAGCCAAATATCAAAGATATCCCTCTGATGTTTTCTTGATGAATTGTTGAAGTCTTTGGTACCCGGCATGTCACGCAATGAAAACCGCAGAGTTGCCCGTCGATGCAACCGAATGAGATTCTCTTTGTTACAGTTAGAATTGTCAGAATTCGGCAAATTCGTCTTCCGGTGTTGGGCCCTTGTCAATTCCAACACACGACTCCATACAGATGGGTCATCTGTTCGCGATCCGTCAACGATGCTATTGCAAAGTGCATATTGCTCTTCAGTGCTGTGTGCTTTGTTTAGACAAAATAATGATTCCATCGTTTCTCCGAACAGCAGCACTCGCTTTTTCCCACTTCTGTTATACTTATCGATTGACGAAGAGGATCGTGGTATCGTAGGCAAAGGAGAAGCGAACGATGGGGACTTGCAGATTGACGAATCATTGTTTTTCCCATTGTGGAGATTTCTTCTCGATACCGATGATAGGTTTTCGACAGGTGATAGTGCTTTCCGTTTCGAATCTTTCAAGTGCGGCACACTTCGTAGTCGATGAGAATTGAGGCCGTGGACACCTCCGTCTTTCACTGCTGACACGAACGAATCGTTGTTCAATTTCTGCTTCTCAGTATCCTGCTGGTATTTTGAGAAAAGAGATCGTTTCACAGTCCCGTCGTATGCAGTCTTATTGTTTCCATGCGTGGAATGAAATCGAATATTTTCTTTCTGGCTAATGCTTGTGGCTGAAGATGAGGGCAAAGGCGGAATCAAAGATGGAATCACGAAAGGCTTGTTGCTGCTACTGTTTGGGGGAGACATAGTCGATCCAGGTATCTGCTAGAAGAGCATATGGCGCGATGTGAAATCAAAGAATATAACCTTTTTCAGAACAATAACGATCTTTGTAGATTAAGGTCGTATCACCATGGTTATCGCTTTTATTGTCGAAGTGCTATGTTTTCTCATCAGAATCTTTCCTCAAAATTAACATCTCGTTACAAAGCGTTTCAATTTTAAATTTACCGTTTGGAGTTTGTCATTTCGGACGCGCGCAAGGCTTGCTCGATTGGCTCACCCTAATTGAGCTCTCACAAAAAAGAGCAGATATCATAATATCTGAATAGACTCACTCGATTACTAGGAATGACCGATCTGGTCAATTTTCTAAAAACGAGAAAACGAAAGCTAGTTCGCAATGCTACCTACGTAAGATACGTACGTACTTACATATTACATATTTCATCGCTTCATGATTTTTTAGCCTTGGAAGCAGGTTTGGATTTGAACTAAGTACCGGTACGTACGTACTCGTACCGGTAGGAGTACGAAACCTGCAGAGTTTCTCTAAATATGGCATACTATTCTCGCGGAATTTTGACCGAATTCCCTGAAAGAAGTTGGGGGACAGAAAGAGGGTCTGACAGTTTTTTACTTTAGCTGCGTTCGTTTCGTACGATTAAAAACAACGAAAGCAAAAATACTCGTACGATCATGATCGTACTTGATCCGGCTGGTGGTTGCACGGTAGGCTCAAGAGTTCCGCAGAGTTGCACTTTTTAAGAGGCCTATAGGAACTGATGCACTGTCGACGAAAGAAGGCTAGCGATTGTTTAGTTCGCACTTTGGATTCCGAGAAGAGAAAGTCCAAAATCGGTTTCAGCAATATATTCCGTTGAACTCCCCTTTAAATGGACATATCGTCCAACAATAGAGACGAATCATCGTCATCCTCTCCTTCTGGGGCAGACGCGTCCTCGGCTTCGGATGTAAGCGGACAGCGATGGACTTGCGAGGCATGCGGTTGCAATACAAATAGAGACAGCGATAGGACATGTTCCATTTGTGGTACGAGGCGAGAGAGCGGTATGTTTAGATCGAAGTCTATTTCTTCGTCCCTCGTCTTTTCGTTGATACAATCAATCACGATCTACGATTTCACTCGTTTGTGATGTTCCAGTATGTTCTGCGGTTTTCAGTTCTGAAACTAGTGATCATGTTGCTTGGAAGCAACATTTGAATCGCCAAAGCACCACAATCTTGGGCTGCGCGACTACTAGCACCGATGATGTGTTCTAATTGTTAATAATATGTTTGCTCTGTACTTTCGTCAATTTATTCCTGTTCCAGGCACGTCAATACTAAGAAGAGCAGGGTATGCAGCAAGAGCTTCTGGATTGTTTGGAAGGAATGCGATCATAATGCGACGCAACATTTTGAATGACAATACAGATGGTAGCGGTAGTGCCCGCGAACTTGCATTCAGGGTGGATGAAGATTACACTGCATCCCTGGTACGACGGAATGTTTTGAATGACAATAATGGTGGTAGCAACAGTGAAGATCAGCAATTCAACTTTAACTTTGAGGGTGTGTTAATGGACGACTATGTCGATTTCTTGGAAGGTATGGATGACACTATCCAATTAGGTCCTCCCGATCCTGATGAAGATGAACACGAAGGGCTGTCAATGGCCGAGGTGGCTGCGGGAGCAGGTGGTGACAGCAGCAGCAACAACAACGTTGCCAATTATCGAAGTGCCGCAATTCGGTTTCGAGTAGCTGCAGCGATGCGAAGAGCGAGAGCAGATAACCGATTCGTTGCTCCTAGCGCAAGAGAATCGACACAGGGACTTTCACCAGAAGACCTTCTGCACGCTGCAAACAACAACGATTCTGCTTACCAGCCTAAGTGGATGGACCTTTCTCAAATTGGGGGTCGAATGAGAACTGGCAATGGGATAGAAGTTGGAGAAGGGGCGGAACAAAATGTTGCGTATCTTCCGCTGGGATCAGGCGAAGGTCGCGCCTTGAGAGCGCTTGAAGCCTTCCCAAGAAGTCTCCCATTTGCATCGTTTTCATCAGTCTCATCATCAACTATGTCGGCTACAAATAGCTCTTTTGCATCAACGTCTAATCAGGAGCGTAGAATAAGGCGAGTTTTTGGTTTCAAGGTTGCATTTTCCCATCCATGGAAAAAAGCTGGTGAAAAGTTGGGGGGGCGTTATCTCATTGGAGTCACGACAACTACGTTTTCATCGTTTAGCGAGAAAAATGCATTGCATCAATCTCCTTTCTTCTATGGTATAGAAGATAGTGGGAAAAAATACGAAGGAACACGAAATATTGCTAGTAGTAGCTCATCAAGAGAGGGCTTCCGCGCCCGCAGGAGATCTTCTTATGCCTTAGAATTAACAGAAGAAGACGCCCCTAGGAACAAGGACGGTGCCCTCTTTGGTTCTAGAGAGGTGGTGACATGCGTGATTGACCTTGAGAGTCGCACTATGACATTTTGGAGGGATGAAGATGGAGAATCAAAATTGATTGGTACATTAGTCAAAAATATACCAAGAAGCGGGCAACTATATCCTATAGTTGTTCCATATCATGCCGGTTCTAGCGTTTCGATTACTGGGATGTTAGGAGAACCGTTACCACTGTGAGTATTGCGTAGCAGTGTGATTGCGAAGCTGTGAATTTTTTTAGCATTTTTTTAGTATAACTTTTTTGCTAACAGAACCAATCTTTCGATAATGTAATTTGAAGGCTCACTGCATTCGCGGCCACGTGGAAACAAGCTCAACTAGAAAAGGATTTGCTTCGACGCGAACAGATAAGAAAAGCCCGCTCAATCATGATTCAAAACAGATGTTTCACACCAAGTCTGATTACTGCTTTGAAGGAAATATTTTCTCGATATAATAATGCAAGTGCGAAAGAACTGACCGAAATTGAAGCATCAAGATTGTGGTATCGTTGTGGCATGAGACTCTCGAGTTTGAAGGAGGTTCTTGCTGAAACTCCAAACAAGAACACTATAAGATTCGAAGATTTTCGGCTTTTGCTTCAGCGAATTGTAAGAGACGATGAAAAGCATTACCCCTTATCAGATTCGTCAGAAAAATCTAGCCCATTATCAGATTTTTGTGTAAGTATTGTCTTCGACAAGGTCATAACCAATATTTTGATGCAAACAACTTTCGCTCATATTATGTTGTTATCCACTCATAGATCGGAGACAAAGTTGAGCTCACAAACAACTATGCGAGATTTGGGGATGCTGCCAAGGGTCCGCTTTTACCTGGAAATCGTGGGACAATAATAGAATTACAAGGTGCAGAAGGATCTAGGTGAGTTTTTGTCCAGCGAAGACTGTCAAGAGGTGAAGTATTTTTTCGGTCTACAAAAATTCTTTTTTCCTCTAATATTTCCATCCCCATCCTAGACAAGCGATACGGGTAAAATATAATGCGCGCCGGTGGTGGTATCAACCGCAAGCACTCGTGCGCGAGGGGTCTGGTTTGACGGATTCACCTGGTATATGGTTTCTAAAAGGAATACTTCGATCGCATGCTTACGACGAAAACATACAACTTCTTGTGGGAAAGCAAGTATTGTCGTCCTCATGGAAAATTGGAGACTTGGTTGCGCCGAAGAAAATGAAAAGCTTGGATCACGGTGCAAATCAACATACTTATGGAATAGACCAGAGCATCGGCAGGATTGTATATGACAATTCCACATCTGGCACATTTCCAATGCGAGGTCGTGGTTCTGGTGTAGTCACAGTTGAGTTCATTAGAAAAGCGTTCGCAGAAAGCACATGTCTGAAAGGTTCCTCTTCGTTTATGCAAGACTCTGTTTCGCTCGAGAAGAGAAAGGTTTCTACCTCACTAATAGTCCACACGTCGACATTTCACGGGCTTAGTGTCTCTAAAAAACMTAGAAAAGTTTTGAGTAGTTCTTCAAAGATGACAGCACGTGATGATGATGACGATGATGACGAGAGTGAAGGAATGGATATCGATGATGATGAAACAAGTAACAACATCTCGTCCGATTTCCGAGGGCTCAAAGATTTGGATCCGTCAGCGATTGAAAGAATTCTCAAAGAATTTGATAAAACTTCAACTTCACTCGTTTCATTAGTGGAAGCAGGACTGTTCAAGTGTGCATTAGAAGCATTAGATTGTCTTTTGCAAAAAGTCCAGCTTATGAATAACGATGGATCTCTTGCTCAAGCGACTGCAGCCTTGGGAAAGCTTGCTCTATATGTTGCTGAAAGGACTTTTTTTAATAAATCCAATAACAGTACTCAAGAGTACTGCCGCGATCAGCAACTCAAAACGTCTGAGGGCAGTAATCAATCGGATGAATTGCTCAATCATGAAAGTAGTGGACCTCACGAAAATACGAATTCATCTGTCGATGTTTCGAGTGAACATGGTGCTCGTACATCTTCTTTACAGCAACGGCGACGAATGCTGCTGTCGCTGATGTCTCAAGTTCGTCGATCTGATCGCAATTCTCCTGAAGACGAGATACAAGCATTACCGTCCGTTGAAATGAGCGCTGGTGCAGCTGAGGCGCTCTTTTTCGCAACACGGAGCGACGGTAATAATTTGGAAGATGACAATGGCCGATTAGAGAATTCGCGTCCGTCTGCATCTGCATCTTCGACAAAAAACATGACATCTAGGAAAAATTCATCAAAAATAACACTTTTTGACTCTGTTTTCAGAGGAAGAGACAATGATTATCCTGGTGGAAATACAAGCGAACGACGAATTGTTCTTTTGAACTCCGTCAAAAATATTGTATGTATGGGTATCCTAGGAAACTCGTTGCCATGGCTACAATCTTTTCTTCAATCATTTGCGAAGAAAGAAGCGCAAAAAATCGATGCTAGCGACATTGGGATTTTGAAACAGGCCACTGATGATGATGGAATGCCGCTATTGGAGCTTGCTATCACACTTGGTTGTTCTGAATCAATAATAGAAGAACTCATTCACCATGGAGCACCTATCAGGGACATTGAAATACGATTGGCTGCAAATTTTGATCTTCCTGAGATACTATCAGTTCTCTTGACCCATCAAATTTATTGCGATGGTATGATTGAGTTGGAAAGTTGTTCGCAAGCTATAGCTGAGGTGGTTCTAAAAGCAAAAGAACGCCAAGATACTCAACGACAAAAAATGCTGGCAGAAGCCGATTCTTTTCTTGTTGCATTCACTCAGAAACTACTACAGGTATGTCTGAAGCGGCGACAGCAACAGCAGAAGGAAAATGACGTATGTGGACGGGCCATAGCTTGTGCTCTGATAGGAAGTATTGAATTGTGCGCTTTACGAAGAAACGAAAATGCAGCATCTTCATTAAATCCACTTGTGAATGACGATGGAAATTCCTTTCAATCAGGAAGACAAATAAATGGGACAGTAGACCCTTGTGGTCTTTTGCAGGTGCTCCCCTTATCAATTTTAGGCCGAGCGCTTGCTGAAGAGCCTGCTTCTCTTACAAATCTCTTACTTCTCATTGAAGATTATCTCTGCAGTAAGGGGATAAATGATGCTTGTATAGGCCTTACAATGCTTTTTACACTATTGCAAAGATTTCCACAACTTCGAAAAAGCCAAGAAATGGAAAGATACGGGTTCACTGAACTTATTTATTCTCATGATGCGCTAGCGTTGAATCGTTTGACTGAGATATCTTCGAGACTTGCAAAAAGAAGTCTAGCGGAGGATAAATCTGAGAAAGATATCTTGTCCGGGCATGAGGTTACTTTTTGTCCACAGAAACATCGTGCAAAGTTGCATGTCACGAAGCATTCTTCTTTCCGTTGCGATCTGTGCGGTGTGGGTGTAGAGTGTGGTGCCATTATGCATGGTTGCAGGAAATGTGATTGGGACGCGTGTGAAAGTTGTACGGACAAGGCCGAAGGAGGTATTCTGAAATGGAAATATGTCAGACAATTTTCATCCAGGTGCCAGAGAATATTTGGTCGCATCGACGACGGTTTGAAAGAAGACGGAAGTGAATGGTCAAGTCGCATGCTAGAAAATCTGAAGCTGATGGACAACACATCGGAGGTCAATACCTTGTCAATCAAACTTTTGCAACAAGATCCAGACTCAATTCAAGTTTTGGCTCGCATGTTAAGCGAGAAAGGACGCATTACAATCTATCAATTTTTTATGGTAATCTTGCCAGCTCTTCATGCGACGCTTATGGGTAAGGCCCTGTGCAACGAGGATATGTTAGGGCGTCGACCCAAGAAACCACGTGTAGCGGACATACGATTTCCTGACAACGAAGTAAAAAAGGACGCAAACGGAGAAGAACGACTACTATTTGCAAAAGAAATATTGAAGTCTCTGGTGTATGACTCTACCTCACATGATGGTTGGAAAGATGGGCTGATCGATAATGATACGGACGAGGATCATCATGAGTACAACGTCAATGATGACGAACACGAAGAACACGATGAAAACCCGTCCTATCAGAAAAATGTAAAAGTTCCAGTGAAGCAACTTCCAGAAATACTTCGGCGTTTGCACCAAGTGCTTGCGTTGCACGAAGAAGTGAAAACTTTGGAGGTAGATAAATACAAAAAGAAGAGTCGCGTATCTCCAAGTGATCTTCGATCACTCAAGCAACCAATCAAGCTACGACTTACACAACTGCGACACTCGAAGTGTGAGAAAAAACAACCTGACCGCGATGTCACGATTTTTTGTGAACCTCTGGTGTCAGTACACGACCTCTCGAATCAAATTCTCAAAGCTTCATCGAATACTCATCCGCACTATATTGACTTTTGTCAAAAGCTAGCGAATGATTCGTCAATTATTTTGGAACGCTCACTTTCTTCTAATGAAAATGTATGGCGTATTGCAAAGATTGAATCTTACAACGAGAAATCTGGATTCCATTGTGTGCGCTATGCTTCTGGTGTCGTGAAAAGCTTTGACGGAGACTTCAACGACTTCAGAAAAGGTGAAGATTTTGCTTGTTTGGAATACGAGCTCACCACAACAAAGTTGATTCTCTCCACGAGGAAGTTTTTGGTTGTCCATCGTGAGTGTTCACACGGAAAGTCAGCATTTGATATGGAGCAATTTCTTGCCGAAGGCATGGTTGGACAAATCGACGAGTCTTTAGTCGATACAAAATCGGATGATACATTTAATGTTATCGGAGCGCTCGTGGAAAGCGACGTCAAATCATCGTCATGGGCTTTGTATACCATCGTGGCTATCGACATTTCAGACGAAGACACTAAATATGATCTCGTATCAGAAGATGGTGATGTTATTTGTGGTGTACCAGCGAATCGCATCAACGGTATTGATCAAAAGCAGAAAAAGAATGTTGAAGCAGCTAGATCTGAAGACAGAATTTCTAGGCTGCATTCTGCTGCGAGACGAAGTCTCGAAGCTCGCGGAAACCTCAGTAGTGCACTACCGTTTCTAATAGCGAATCGGCGGCAGGCAACAGATGCACTAGGGGCTGAGTCAAATGAGCTTAGGAGAAAGAAGAAGGAAAATTTTCTTCTCAAACGAACCTGGTCAGCTTTAGCACTGGTTGAATCAATGTGTCCAGCCGATGTCAGTGCGAAATCGCAATTGGACCATGAACGTTCTTCAAATCCCAATGCCATCAAATTTACGTGTTCCGTCAGTGATAGTAGAATTGTCATCTACGTAGACGAAAGCTTGCTACAGTACTCTCCGTGTCTGCAAGTTAAATTCAGCCCCACTCATATTTACAACCCGACCTTGGTATCCTCGCCATCTGAAACGACTCTGATTTCGCTCCTCCAAAAACTAAATAACGGTGAAATATGTGATTTTTTCTGCGACAAAGGCCATCAAATATTTTACTATGTAACATTCCAGTGGTCAAATGCTCAGATTGATGCCACAAACTTTGAGCTAAGAAGAAATAATACTTTTGTGCACCAAGAAGGTTGGGCAAAAGGAGACCAACCCTGCAAGATGACAGATTTTTCCAGGATTCCTGATTACTACGAACTTGGATCAAAATATGAAGGTCTAGATGAAATTTGTGTTCAGTGTATGGAAGTCATTGAATTTTTGGCCAGAGTGAACGCAAAATTACTCAGGGACAGCAAATGCGACACTGAATCTGTCTTCGTCAACCAGGAACTTTCGCAGAAACTAACAAAACAAATTGAAGATCCCCTCTTCGTCGTAGGAAGAACGATACCTGAATGGTGTTTCGCAATTCCTTCGTTGACTCCTAATATGTGAGCATACAGTCGTTTGTACGCATGTAAGAGCTCAAACAATTTCTCACATTCTTCGTTATCTTTATTCTTTCTTCACAAACTGTAGATTCAGTTACGATTCTAGAAAACTTTTTCTCGATCGTGTCGCTTTCGGTGTTTCGCGAAGTACACTACGACAGCAAGACTCGAAGGTCGATGTTGGTCGTATACGACAACGAATGACAACACTTAGAGCAAGAGCAGTCGAATTGGTTGGTGAAGCATTTTCAGCTGGGGCGGAAGATCCAACAGCATTGCAGCTACAAGCTGATGAGTTGTATGGAATGGAAGAGGTATGATGAAACACCTCGTTCTCGTATTTTCTTTCAGATATTGCGTGTTGTTGAACTCACACAAACTCGCTCGACTGTAATTTTTAGAGACTTGCTACGCGGGTCAGGGCATCGTTTGAAACCCAAGGATGGGAAGAGATGACACTACAAGTAGCTAAAGCTGCTGTCCATCGCGAATCCCTTCTGTCAGACGCATTATCAATCATGGACCAATATTCTTGTAATGCTAATCTTGGACGAAGAAGGTTAGAGGTCCGGTTCGACGGAGAATCTGGTTTTGATGCTGCATCTGGAGACGAAGCTGGTGTAACCAGGGGATTCTATGCGGATATTGCAGAAGCGTTGATGTCTTGTGATACCGTAGCAGGTGTGATATTCTCAACGTGTCCGGTAGACCCAGGCTTGAATTCTGGCGTGACTTCGTTTCCAATCAAGGATTCTAGCAGGCCTCTCAAGTTACCGCTCTGGATTCCTGATATCGATTCTTCTGGGCAAGTGATTGTTCCAACACCACGGGCAGCAGCAGCCGGCATATTTGGTGTCTTCCCGCGACCTATATCGGAAGTCCATCCTCAATTCTCACATGTCATGAAATATTTTAGATTCATGGGCCGATTATTCGCTGCAGCGATGAGAGATGGTTTCATCTTCCCTCTACCTTTGAGTTCGTCTTTTTTGAAGCTAGTACAGTACTCTGGCGAGACCTCTTTGCCTCATTTTGATCCAGATCACGCTTTCAGAGGCCGTATAGACGGTGGAAAACAGGAAGAATATATTTTGTCCAGTAATGATCTTCCTCGACCGGGATTTCTTGGTGGAGAGGTTTACGCTGTTGAGGCGTATATTTGCTGCAGACTCGATCGTATCGACCGCATGGAACCACCTCTCAATGATCTCGAAAGAGAAAGAGAATACAGCAATTTGGCCTCGGATGTACAGTTTGCCCGAGTTGCTCTAGGGAAAAGCTATGATTGTTCATTCAACGAATATTTTCAGGATAGGACCTTTGTTGATCCCTTGGACCCAACACAGGGGTTTACCGCACACCCACTATGTAGCAATGGATTCAACCGAAATGTAACCATTTACAACATTCGCGAATGGGTTGCGTTAGCGAAATATTTCATGTTGCATGAGGGAGTTATCGAACAGGCAGCTGCGTTTAGGGCAGGTGTAGATGACTTTTTTCCTTGTGATTATCTCCGCTTGTTTACATCAGAGGAATTGCAGCGCGATGGTTGTGGAATGGGCGACGACGTAGATGATTGGGACGAAGATGCAATAAAGAAGCTTTTGAAACTTGACACAAAGGGTGTAACAGAAGCATTGGTAGCTGTCGCTGCGATCGGCGGAAATACAGAAGCGGTGGGCCGTCGTTTCGATCCCGCCTCGACGACTATAAAATATGTTGTAAGGGCATTGCTTGAAGCTTCGCCCAAGCGTCGTCGTCAATTTTTGAGCTTTGTCACCAGTGTACCAATCGTGACGCCGGGATTGATTGAAATCATACCCATCGTGTCGTCGAGTGGCAAGTTTTTGCCGATGCAAGATCCTGGGTGCTTGCCTCGAGCAAATACGTGCGCACGGAGACTGTATTTGCCAAAGTTTGAGTCCTATGAATCATTCTCCCAGGTCATCTGGGCTGTTGTCAGAGCCGAGTCAAAGCATAAGGGATTTTTCGAATGGAACCTGTAGTGATTTGGTTTTCAAAGTCAGACAACTAAGCACAAGGCCACAGCCTAGCTAGTGTTAAAACCTAAATTATAGCATATAATTATGCTAATTAATGCCGCGAAACGAAATATCATTTTATTCCATCTTAGAATCAGTCCTATCGAAACACGAGACAGCTTTTTCTTTTAATCAAGTTTGAAGGTCTTATTTGAAGAAATCCGGTGCGACTTCGGCCAACCACTCCTCTCGGATTTGTGTCACTCCCCGAAGATACGTTTTTTTGGTTATGAGCAGCTCTGTGTACACTACCGACTTTGGAGCTGGATTGCGACCAAAGATTGTCGAGGTGGGGTGAATTGATACCACTTCGCTGCCAATCTTTGTCTTGTACCTTCCTCTGGAAGGACCAAGGCGGCCAGAATTGCCCCCGTTGCTGTCGTGCCTTCTGCCTTTCGTTTCGTCAGAAGTTGTCAATCGGGTGGCCGACTGCAGAAAAAGCCCCGCACAAGCACACTTCAGAAATTGGATCTCGTCTTCTCCGCAGGATTGAGAAACATCCATATTCAGGCCACCTTTGTCTATGCTTTTGGCGCAGATTGAGCTCAGCTGTTGCCTTACGTTGAAGGCCCGGACTAACGCACGGCCATTTATAAAGTTGCGTGCACACCACTATTCATATTCCAACAGGCCAAAAAGCAGAAAAGACCGAAGTAAGAACGACATGCAATGAGACCAGCAGGAATAGCATCAAACCTTACTTACCTGTCCGTGAAGAATCTTTCCCCCGTATTCATTTCCTCTTCCTTTTTTTACGCCTGAAGGAGTATAAATTGCTTCCTTTCGCCATGCCTCGAATATATTTTTGAGTGTTGGGAGATCGCCCTCGTAACTCGCAAATCTTCGATGAGCCTGAACCGCCTTCTGTCCCAGGCTTGCCTTTCCATTGCCCTCTCCCGGACCCCCTCCGCCAGGGCGAAACATAACATTCTCGGCGCTCAACATAGAAACAGCCGTCAGCATTTCGCTAGTGCACCCGTAGCTTGGGCTTTGCAACAACAAATGAGCATAAATAGGATCCACCGGGAGCTTGGCCATCTTTCGGCCATGAGCCGTCAGTTCCATGCTGTCACTCAACGCCCCCAGGGCATACAAGAGCTCACATGCTCGCCGCAACGAGGTCGTGCTAGGTCTAGTCAAAAAGTCAAACTGGAGTGGATCGGAAACGCCCATCCCCTTCAGCACGAGGAGGACCGATGCCAAATTCACGCGAGAGATTTCGGGGACGGACGCCTCTGCCAAGCCGTCGAATGCGTCTTCGGTATACAAGCGAAAACAGAGGCCAGCGCTCACTCTCCCAGCACGACCTGTTCGCTGGGCTGCCTGGGCTCTACTGATATCCTGAACCGTGAGGGATTCCATCCCGGTCGCGTCGGAAAAGTCGCGCGTTTTGTGCTTCCCACAGTCCACAACATAGCGAATCCCGTCCAGGGTCACCGATGTTTCGGCAATGTTTGTAGCGAGAATGATCTTTCGGGAGCAGCCCTTTGGTTTGGGGGCAAATGCCAGCATTTGGGCTTCCGGGGGGAGGGCCGCATAGAGAACACAAATCATGACGCCATTGACAATGTTGGCGGCTCCCTTTTGGCTCGATATCGTGGTTCCGATTCCACCGACGTCCTGTACAATATCCGAAAGATGTTTTTGCACCTTTCCACCGTCTCGATCTTCTTCGAGATGGCGTTTCAAAAGCTGGTTCAGAGTTTCGATTTCTTCCTGCCCTGGCAGAAACACGAGAATGTCACCGCCTCCATCGCCATCATCCATTCCGTAGTGTATTTGTAGCGACGTTGCCAGTGCCGAATCGATGTAGTCTTCCTGGTATTCCTTTGTATAAACGGTCTGAACGGGAAACAATCTTCCTGGAATTTGAATAGTCACTGCATCGGGGAAAAACGTTTGAAAGGTGGAAATTTGCAGGGTCGCTGACATGACCACCACCTTGAGTCTCGGTAGGTTCCACTCTTCGGCCTTGGCGCGGAGCAAACGCTTCATTTTCCCATCTCGTGTCTCTTCCGACCCGGCATCTTCTTCGTTGCTTTCGTCGCTGTTTTCGTCGCTGGTATCTACATGGCCCCTGGCCCTCATGGCCCTCTTTACAACCCCGAACAATATATCGGTTTGCAACGAACGTTCGTGCGATTCGTCAAGCACAATGACACCATACCTGCTCAGCAATGGATCGCTCATGGCTTCTCTCAGAAGCATTCCATCGGTCGCGTACAGCAGCTTGGTTTTGCGCGAGCTGCAGTCGTCGAACCGCACGCGATACCCCACTACGGTGCCCAGGACACACCCTCGTTCTTGGGCAACACGCCTGGCCACCGTCATGGCGGCTACCCGTCTCGGTTGTGTCACACAGATGGATCGGGCGTGATACGGAGCCGTAGCAGATGCGGAGGCAGCGGCAGTGGAGCGAGATAAGGACGAGGATCCTTCTTTGTTCTTGTATTTTCCCCGTTTGCCGGGAGTCTCCTTCCGGGCATTTTTCTTCTCGCTCCGGTTGGCAGAAAGCAGCCCCCCTTCTTCGAGATAGGCCGGAATCTGCGTCGACTTTCCACTCCCAGTTTCGGCCATTACTAACAGTACGTCGTGTTCCGTCATTTTCCGAAGAATTTCTTGCTTGAATGCGTAGACAGGGAGTTCTTTCCGGATCTTTGATAGACGAACCCGTTCTTCTTGCAACGACAGGGCAACCGCGGAAGTCTTCGAGGAGGACGAAGCCGCCGTCGCCGCCGCTGTCGACGACAAGAAAGAAGACCGACGATTCTCGTGTTTCTTCTTCTTCTTTTTGGCAGTGTTCCTCAAATGAGACAGTACGTCATCGTTGCCATTCGAGAAGACGGGCTTGCCGATGTCATCGTCGTCGTCGTTGCCCTTGCCCTTGCTTGGCTTTGTGTCTGAACTCACGGTGCGTCTTCTCTTCTTTTTGTTGGAAAGTTCGGAAGACATGATCAGATCAAAATGTGCAAGTGCCTAATACTATGGCCGGCCCCCTCACTCCTTCGGTCTCTCCCTGAAACTTTTTCCTGTGTGCTATGCAAGGGGATGCTCTTTACTATGCTGCTCGTTCATTGCCATAATTATTTTTTTTATTGGTTATTGGTACCGGTACCCCACTGTACTTCTTCCACCGCACGAGTGTTCTCAACGAAAGTAAATTTCAAGAAAATCCAATAGAAACATATTTTCAATTTTTGATTGACACAAAAAAAATCAGACATGGGTTATGAGCTACGTACAAGGCGCCGTATTCTGGTCGGAATAGTCGATCGGGAGAGTCTGGAAAAGCCAAAAAACGAAGCTGCGAAAGCGATTTCGATTCAGAATTTTTGAAGCGGAGGACTGACTCGTACGAGCACAGTACCCACCACGATGATGCTACGACACTCCTCGCCCTATTGTGAGTTACTTCTAGCTCTCTCCCAGTAAATACTTCGCACCACTGTAGTACGAAGTACGTCGAAGTAACTACTAACACGAAAAAAGAAAATAGATATTAGTTGGAAATATATGGCTTCGTCTTCCGTTCTTCTCGTGTACTGTTTACTCAGAGAAGGGACGTAATGCTGAGTTCTTGGATGAGAGGAAGCATAAGGTGATGCAGATTTTGGGGTGTCCTTCCTCCGATGCAAGGAATACCTACATTCTGTGCCATCCCTCAACAGTAATTATACCAACATATGGTATCAAACATCTTTGACCCGGGCGAATTCTTGGGTGCATGTAGAATCCTAACTACAGCCAATTCTTCACCTCGTGTTTGCTCCACTGGTAGAACTTTTCGCGTTTCTCTTTGTCGTTCGAACTTTCTGGTGATGTTTTCTGTATTATGAAATCCTCGTGTGCAAACTTCTGAAAAACCAGAAGAAAAGCAGCACACATGTCGGCTAAGTTCTCTCTCCATCCAAGCGTGTTCTGTACAAAATTATTGGTCAGTAGCAAGGACGTAAGTTTGTACTGGACCAGGGTCGTGTTGGCGACAAAGGATTTTCCGTCGTTCAGGGCATCCCCGAGCTCGTCGTCGGTGCGGAGCATCGCATTGACCGCGCTGGTGATTCCGGGCCCGCAATCGGCGATCGGAAATGCGTATTCGCCGAGAAACGCCCTCCCTTTCTCACCGGCAATGCCCGTCGCGGCCCACGTGGGACAGGCACAGACGGACGAACAGCCTTCCGGCAACCGAGAGGCGACCGAACGAGAGTGCCAGATCTGTGCCAGTTTTGTGTTCGCGTAGGATCGTCCCAAATGGCCCGGTCTTTGTTTTTCGGGATCGGAATGGTAGGCAATGGGCACTCCGTCCTCGCTGGAAGGAACCAAGTCGCTTCCATCCACTTTCCAGTGATAAGTAGAGGTAACGTGAACAATTCTGCCCTTCTTCGACAGAATTGGGATCAGCTTCTCCGTAAGGAGAAAATGGGAAAGATAGTTCACCGTAAAAGCAAGATCTTTCTGATGCGCCGAGACCCTGACCGCGCTCTTTGAACGATTTGCGTCGTAAGATATCCCAGCATTATTTACCAGTAGATCAATGCGATCAAAGCGGGAAAGAATCAAATTCGCAGCACACGCGACTGAGGAAAGATCTTCTTGATTGGTAATTATCTTTACGAACCTTATTTGCACATCTTCGATGTTACTATTTCCGACCTGATCCTTTGAATCTTTATCTCCATTGTTGCTGTTTTTGCTCGTGCTCTTGCTTTCGTCTTCGAAACAATCTTCTTGCAACGATCGCTGCAGCTCCTCGAGGCCAGCCACGTTGCGGTCGAGAGCCACCACGGTTCCACCGAGACGAAAAATCGTTTTGGAAAGTTCACCGCCGATTCCACCGGCTGCACCGGTAACGACTGCTATCCTTCCTTTCATCGGGAACGGGTCGTTCTCGTCCCCATTCTTGCTGGAGTAGCGCTTTCGAGCAAGCTCGGCAATGGTTTTGTCAGAGAGACCCCGCAATCGACGAGATGGTGTAAACGATGCAACCCGAAGAATTATATAGAGGGATAGAAATATCCCAAATCGGAGAACCCTGCTCATCAATCTCCAGAGACTGCGCATTGATTTGTTATCGTGAATAAGAACTCGTTACTGTACCGACAATGAGGAAGGTAAAATTGACCGTGACAAGACGCTAACTCTTGGTCAAGCGATTTTCAACGCCTTACAATATCTAATGTCCTCGACTGTATCTTTGGACGTGAAGCGCAGAAAAATTTAGCGATGCGGGAACACAACAGTAAGTACAGTTCGTACATAAGGTTCTTGATTTCTCTGTATGGTGGGGTATCGTACCATTCGTACGGTACGGTACCTCGAAGACGAATATCTTCGACGGAACGAGTTTGACCTCTATCGATGTTGGACGTATGATAATAAAGAGATACGTACATACAGTACTGTAGAATACGATTTACACACCTCTTCTTGAGGTTGGATCATTCTTCGTACATTTCCTTTTCTGAATAGAGCTATTAAAGGCAAGCCCCGTACTGGCAAGTTATTGGCAATTCCGAACCTCCAGGGCCGGCTGGCTTGCCTGCCATGCGCATGTACCCCCTGTAGACTCAGTACCGCGGTACTAATTTTACGTAATCTACGTACATATTTTTATACAGCGAATCACTACTGATGCACCTCCATCCAATGCTGCACCTCCACGGTCGACGTCAACATCAAACCCATCAAATTGCCACATCAAATCGCCGCATCATACTCCTCCGCAAGCGTTCATTCATACTCAACCGCAAGCGTTCATTCATACTCAAGCGAAACGGCT